TGGCAAGATCTCAGCTTATGGCAACCTCCACCTCCTGGGTTCAAGCCATTCTTCTGCCTCAGCCTCCCCAGTAGCTGGGATTATAGGCGCGTACCCCTGTGCCCATCCAATTTTTGTATTTTTAGTAGAGGCAGAGTTTCACCATGTTGGCCAGGCTGATCTTGAACTCCTGACCTCGTGATCTGCCCGCCTCGGCCTCCCAAAGTGGTGAGATGACAGGCATGAGCCACCACGCCTGGCTTGGTTAGTTTTTAAAATGTGGAATGACATGATGGCATACCATTGGACCTGTCACCTGCAAGGTCAGTCATGAATAGTCTGCAAATCTTCACATTTAGTGGCCTGTTTTCAGTCTACTGAAATTAGGATTCTTCTCCTTGAGGACCAATGCATTTGACCATCTTGTTCTCCTTGACACTCTCCTGCCTTTGATCTTTTATACCGTTCTCTCTTGATTTTCCTACTGCCTCTCAAGTTACTGTTTGTCTCGCATCTTCCCTCAGCCTTCTCATTGTAGGGACATCACAAAGCTAAGGGTCTTTTTGTTGTAGTAATGGACCCTCAGGTTAAGGATGAGAAGGTTTGTGTGTACTACAGCTGGAAAGGCGTTAGCAACCAAGCAAGCAGCTCTAGGGGCCAGCTACTTTGTCTCTCTCATGTCCCACATGGTATGTCCCTTTCCTGGTCTTTCTGCTTCTATGATTCTTCCTTCTGGCTGGCTTATTTGCTCACTTACGGTTTACAGACTGACTTATGAATGACGTCAATTTACCATCACCCTGATTCTACCTCGTGACATCTTTTCAGCTTCAACTAATTGGCATTTCTTTCCATGCTTCTTTGCCTAGAGAGAGAATCTGACTAGCACAACTGATCACTTGTAGGTAGATGACACTGGTTTGTGGTTGGCTCCTATATGGATGGATCGTTGGTGAGTCCAGTACCTACTCTGGATCTGATCAGTTTTTATATTGACTTAGAGTTGTGCCTATGGCTTCCCCTTTGGCAGGGACTGTAAGCAGGGCAACTCCCTTTAGAGGGGGCTGTGGGATGCCCAAAACAACAACACAACAAACACCCCCCCACACCCAAACAAACAAAAAAAGCATCTTTTATTGTTAAAGAGGAAAAAAGAAATTTAAAAGAAATAGAGGGGGCTGTGGGAGAACAGGCGTTGCAAAATACATCTCTGCTTTCCTTCTGTATTCTGAGTTTCAATATTTCATGACTTTCTAATCTACACTCATTTCTCTTCAGAGGTTTTGCTTTGCATCTTCTAGCTAACTGTGTAGTTAACATATCCACCTGGATGTCTCTCTGTCACCTCAAAATTAGTGAGTTTAAAAATGAGGCCGGGCACAGTGGCTTACGCCTGTAATCCCAACACTTTAGGAAGCCAAGGTGTGCGAATCACTTGAGGTCAGGAGTTCAAGACCAGCCTGGCAAACAAGGTGAAACCCCATCTTTACTAAAAATGTAAAAACTAGCTGGGTGTGGTGGCATGCGCCTGTAATCCCAACTGCTCGGGAGGCTGAGGCAGGAGAATTGCTTGAACCTGGGAAGTGGAGGTTGCAGTTAGCCGAGATTGTGCCACAGCACTCCAGCCTTGGCGACAGAGCGAGACATCGTCTCAAAAAAAAAAAAAAAAAATTAAGTCCCCTTTTTGTTCCAAAACCAGTTCTCACTTTGTTTCAGGTAGCTAAGTATTCTTAGTCTCTAAGCTTCCTTTATAATCCTGTTTTCCTGTTTCCTTTCTTTCTATATCTGATTGGTAGCCAGCATACCTTGTTTTCCTTTATAAACGTCCTCTCATGTTGATACTGCCTTTATCCTGGCCTTTTGCACCACATACTTGGGTTTGCCACAGTCTCTTCGCTTACCTCCTTGTTCCGTTTATCTCCTTCACCAGCAGCACATCTCCATGAATGCTGCCATTCATCTTTATGCCCTATTTTATCATGACTATTAACTCTGACTAATATTTCTTTAAAGTTGGTTGTAGATGTTTACTACAAATATTTCTCTGTGACATTAACAGATGTGGTAAGGTCGTTGTCGACATTGTATTCCCAGTAATTTAGGATTTTTTTCTATCTCTGATAATGAAGAAATAATGATAGAGTAGGTAAATTCCAACATTAACAACAACAAGAAAATAATGAACTAGATTTTGATATGCTAACACGGAATGTTCTTCCAGCTATATTGTTAAGCCAACAAAGTATACATAACGTACAAGTATATGAATGTAAATGCACTAAAAGAAAATATTTGAAAGTGTATACACCAAATAAACAGACTTTACCTCTCGGAAGAAAATAGTGTGGTAGGCGAAAGCATAAAGAGGGAACTTTAGTTTTTACTTTCCATAGTTTAGTATTATTTACTTTTTAAAAAAACCACAGGCACGTATTTGTATTTTATTCTTTAATTTAAGAAACCTAAAGGGTTTCCTTGGCGAAGAATGTGAAACACACACACACACACAAGATGGGCACGGAGTAGTCTTGAAAGACATGACAATATCACCAGACCTGAGAAGAAGCTAAAGAGCCAGAGGGAAAAAGTCAGAAGTCGACTACCTGGGAGGAGGGATAGACAAGAGACCAAACTAAAGGAAACTAAGTGTGGATCCAGCTTGTCCCCAAAGCTTGCCTTGCTTCGAAGCATCAGATGGTAAAGAATCTTCACCTATGCCTGTGATTTGTGGGCCTGAAGAAAACTATCCATCCTTGCAAATGTCTTCTACTGAGTTGCCTCACATGGAGACTGTCTCTCCTCTTCCTTCCTCCATGGATCTGCTTATTCAGGACAGCCCCGATTCTTCCACCAGTCCCAAAGGCAAACAACCTACTGCTGCAGAGAATAGTGCCACAAAAAAGGAAGACAAGGTCCCGGTCAAGAAACAGAAGGCCAGAACTGTGTTCTCTTCCGCCCAGCTGTGTGTACTCAATGATAGATTTCAGAGACAGAGATACCTCAGCCTCCAGCAGATGCAAGAACTTTCCAACATCCTGAACCTCCGCTACAAACAGGTGAAGACCTGGTTCCAGAACCAGAGAATGAAATCTAAGAGGTGGCTGAAAAACAACTGGCCAAAGAATACCAATGGTGTGACTCAGAAGGCTTCAGCGCCTACCTACCCCAGCCTCTACTCTTCCTACTACCAGGGATGCCTGGTGAACCCGACTGGGAACCTTCCGATGTGGAGCAACCAGACCTGGAACAATTCATCCTGGAGCAACCAGAGCCAGAACGTCCCACCCTGGAGCAACCACTCCTGGAACGCTCAGACCTGGTGCACCCAGTTCTGGAACAATCAGGCCTGGAATAGTCCCTTCTATGACTATGAAGAGGAATCTCTGCAGTCCTGCTTGCAGTTCCAGCCAAATTCTCCTGCCAGTGACTTGGAGGCTGCCTTGGAAGCTGCTGGGGAAGGCCTTAATGTAATACAGCAGACGACTAGGTATTTTAGTACTCCACAAACCATGGATTTATTCCTAAACTACTCCACGAACGTGCAACCTGAAGATATGTAAAGATGAGTAAAATTGATATTACTCAATTTCAGTCTGGGCACTGGCTGAACCTTCCTCTCCCCTCCTCCCCTCCCTGATAGGATTTTTCTTGTTTGGAAACCACGTGTTCTGGTTTCCATTATGTCTATCCAGTCAATTTGATGGAGGGTGGAGTATGGTTGGAGCCTAATCAGAGAGGTTTCTTTTTTTCCTATTGGATCTTCCTGGAGAAAAGACATTTTAATAACTTTGGCTGCTAAGGACAACATGATAAAAGCTGTCTCTGGCTATAGATAAGTAGATCTAATACTAGTTTGGATATCTTTAGTGTTTAGAATCTAACCTCAAGAATAAGAAATACAAGTGCAAATTGGTGTTATGAAGATACTTCTATTGTTTGGGATTTTGAGGCTTTGCTTTTTTTAAAAAAACTATTGAGGTAAACAGTTAATTGATTTCCTCACCCTTTTTGGCTCAGTTTTACTATATCCCCTAATTTGTTGGTTATGCTAATCTTTGTAGAAAGAGGTCTTATATTTGCTGCATCATAATGACGTTAGTACTACTTTAGTCAATTTAAGTACAAATGAATCAAACAACTATTTTTCCTTTAGTTGATTTTACCCTTATTTTACCTAATGTTTCAGTGAGTAAATATACAGCTTAAACATTAAAAAAAAAAAAAAAGAAAGAAACCTAAAGGAAGTTTGCTTTTTTGAGATTAAAAAGTATTTAGGCATGTAGGTTTTTGCAGAATAGCAAGTCACCAACCAAGGGCCCTTTATTTCCACATAGAAAGGTAAGAACATCAAGCTATGTGAAGAGTGAACAATATCAATCATTGCAACTTCTAATATTAAGGGTAGGTTTGCATGTAAATTTGGTTACTTCTAATGATATAGGTTGTCAAACACTTAATAAAAATGAACTATTTTGTTAATGGCATAAATTCCCTCATCATTGGATATAAGCTTTATCTTAAATATTATGTAGAAACTTACAAATGCTAGTCAGTTTCTTAGCCTTTTTTTGAAAAAAATTTAAAGTGGTTTAGTAAATGGTAAATGCAGGTTGGCATTAATGATGTAATAATTCTTAAAATGACTGTCTTAAAAAATGTAAAAGTAGGCTGGGCATGGTGGCTCATGTCTGTAATCCCAGCAGTTTGGGAGGCTGAGGCGGGCACGTCACCTGAGGTCAGGAGTTTGAGACCAGCCTGGCCAACATGGTGAAACCCCATCTCTACAAAAATACAAAAATTAGCCAGGCATGATGGCAGGTGCCTGTAATCCCAGCTACTCGGGAGGTTGAGGCAGGAGAATTGCTTGAATCCAGGAGGCAGAGGTTGCAGTGAGCCGAGATTGCACCATTGCACTCCAGCCTGGGTGACAGAGCGAGACTCCAGCTTAAAAAAAAAAAAAGTAAAAGTAATCAGACTTATATATTTTAATTAGCAGTTTATTTTTAAACTTTATCTTAAAGCTGTCCAGACCAAAACGAAGAAGACGTTAGCCAAACCCAATATAAGGAACGTTGTGTTGGTGGATGGTGTTCGCACTCCATTTTTGCTGTCCGGCACTTCGTAAGTATGACATGATCATATTATTTTTTTCCTTCTTTTAAGACACTTTCAAAGGTAGTCTTTGTAAATGTAACCCAGTAGGTAATAATATTGTTAGTGGACTAATATTTGGATAGCAGTCCCATGAAATTAATATAGAATAAGTCAAGACAGTGGTGAAATAATATGGCAACATTTGTTTTTTATCCTTCTCATGAATAAGCCTAGTGTAGTTTTACTTGAAATAGCTCTATTTTGAAAGCCTAGAGGTCCAGATAGCTTGCTTCCAACAGAGCTGTCCTTTCCTTTTCTGGAGAAAAGGACATTGTCTCTGTGCCTCCTCAGAAGTTTGAGTGCTGAAGATATGGGCCATGGGCATTCCGAAGGGCCTGTATAATCCACTGGTTTGGCCTCCTGGAAATTAGTAAAATTGGAGTTGATAGGGCTGGTCCAAACCCCTGGCATAGCACAACCCCAAGTGTATGGGACAAGAATTATCCTAGACCAGCTCCAGAATTCCCTAGATCAAAATTGCTCTTCTCCTTGGCCTTTTATGCTTCTTTTCTGTCCCCGAGTGAAGGTTAGTCTATCCAAAAGCTGGTAATGGACTTTGATAACAAGGTTTAAACTGTTCATTCTATTCTGTTTAGATTGTTTTAGTGTTTATATTTTGAATAGGTAGTTGCCAGCTTTAAAAAAATGCTGCGGAATGTTAGGCATCTGTTAAAAATAATGAGACCTATCTTTATATACTAATATGGAAGACCTAAGATCTTGAAGATATGTTAAGTGTAAAAAGCAAGGTGCAGTCTGGGTGCAGTGGCTCACACCTGTAATCCCAGCACTTTGGGAAGCCAAGGCAAGAGGATTGCTTGAGCCCAGGAGTTCGAGACTAGCCTGGGTAACATAGCAAGACCTTGTCTCTACAGAAAATAAAAAATATTTGCTGGGCATGGTGGTACACACCTGTAGTCCCAGCTACTCTGGAGGCTGGAGGCTGAGGTGGGAAGATCACTTGAGCCTGGGAGGTCAAGGCTGCAGTGAGCTGTGATCATGCTGCTACCTACACTCCAGCCTGGGTGACAGCAAGACCCCATCCCCTCCTCCCGCCGCCCAAAAAAAGCAAGGTGCACAGTATTATGTATAATGTGCAGTGACTTATGAAAGATACACGTGTGTGTGTGTGTGTGTGTGTATATATGTATATACACACACACACAACAAAGGTTCATTTTTAAACAGACGATTTGGGACCTGTAAATATATTTTCTAATAGAAGTAATGCTATAAGTTGGCCAGGCACGTGGCTCATGCCTGTAATCCCAGCACTTTGGGAGGCCAAGGTGGGTGGATCACTTGAGGGTAGGAGTTCGTGGCAAAACCCTGTCTCTACTGAAAATACAAAAATTAACTGGATATGGTGGTATGCACCTGTAGTCCGAGCTACTCCAGACGCTAAGGCATGAGAATCTCATGAACCCAAGAGGTGGAGGCTGCAGTAAGCTGAGATCGCACCACTGTACTCCAGCCTGGGCAACAAAGCGAGACCCTGTTTCAAAAAAAAAAAAAAAAAGAAGTAATGCTATAAGTAAATGGTAGTGACATTTCTTTATTCATCCTATTTTATCAATATAGTAATCCACTTAACAATGTTTCTATAATCTCTTTCCTGTACTGACACAACAGTGAAAGTAAGAATCAGAAGGCTTTAGAAGCAGGAAGAAGGTGGTGTCCTCCTTTTACTCGGCAGCAATAAAATAGAAAAAGAAAGTTCCATCAATACATGAAAGTTCTTGGCTAGGAAGACTCTTTTTTTGTGAGGATCATGTATATATTTTGTAGGTGTTCGATACTAACTGTTTTACTAGCTGTTAAAAAATACAAGCAGACCAGGTTCAGTGGCTCACGCCTGTAATCCCAGCACTTTGGGAGGCGAAGGCAGGTGGATCACCTGAGGTTAGGAGTTCGAGACCAGCCTGGCCAATATGGCGAAATCCCATCTCTACTAGAAATACAAAAATGAGCTGGGTGTGGTGGTGCATGCCTGTAGTCCTAGCTACTTGGGAAGCTGAGGCAGGAGAATCACTTGAACCTGGGAGGTGGAGGTTGCGGTGAGCTGAGATTGCGCCACTGCACTCCAGCCTGGGCGTCAGAGCGAGACTCCGTCTCAAAAAAAACACAACAAAACAAACAAGAAAAAAACAAACCCAAACATACTCAACTGTTTCATTTACTTTTATTAAACATTTGATGATTAGTATTTGCATGAAGTTTAATTTGAGGTATTTACCAAATTAGCATTGGGTTGTTCCTTTCTTTGTTGTGTATTGTGTTTTAGTTTAATTCAGGATTCTGGTTGAGAAAGAAGGCAGTTCATGAGCAATCTAGTGGTTCAGAGAAGAGAAAGTCTTTGAGTAATGTAAGAAATGATAGTGAATAGGGAAGAGAGAATAAAAAGTATTTTAAGGCAATATTCATGTGAAGAACAAAAGTTACTAAAAAATAACATTAGAGGCCCGGTGCAGTGGCTCACACCTATAATTCCAGTGCTTTGGGAGGCCGAGGCGGGAGAATTGTTTGAGGCCAGGAGTTTGAGACCAGCTTGAGCTATGAGCAAGATAACTAGACACCTACCCCCAACCCCTCCTCACCCCCACCTGCCAGTCCTATCGCTACAAAAAAAGAAGAAAAAAGGTGTTTTAATTAGCCAGGCATGGTGGTGCATGCCCCTAGTCCCAGCTACTTGGGAGACTGGCAGGAGTGTTGCTTGAGCCCAGGAGTTTGAGGCTGCAGTGGGCTGTGATCGTACATGAGCTATGCTATTGCATTTCAACCTGGGTGACAGAGCGAGACCTTGTCTCTTAAAACAAGAAAAATTAATAATAATAACATAGAGGGAAAATTTATAAGGACAACAATTTTTACATTATTGATGTTAGGGTTGAGGTGCCAAATAAGTCTTCTGTAATAGAAGATCATTTTCTAAGTGGAAAAACTGGTTTTCTGTTTAATTTGCAGAAACGTTGCTTTCAACTTGAGTGTTATTTGGAAGGCCAGGTTCTTATGGGTAGGGGCATTTGGGAAGCACTCCTGGGAATAGAGTCTAGCAGTGGAATTCAGAAGTCTATCAATAATTCAGGTAGAGGAGTGTGAGAGTATGAGAATAAAGATTGTAAATGATGAGTTGGCTGGAAATGATAAACCTAGTCTGGGGCCGGGCGCAGTGGCTCACGCCTGTAATCCCAGCACTTTGGGAGGCCGAGGCGGGCGGATCACCTGAGGTCAGGTGCTTGAGACCAGCCTGGCCAACATGGCAAGACACCATCTCTACTAAAAATACAAAAATTAGCCAGGCATGGTGGTGTGTGCCTGTAATCCCAGCTACTTGGGAGGCTGAGGTGGGAGGATCCCTTGAGCCCAGGAGGCACATTGCACCACTGCACTCCAGCCTTGGTGACGGAGCGAGACTCTAAAAAAAAAAAAGGGATTGTAAATGGTAAATAATTTATGGCTTATGGCTTTATGGCTTAGGCATTTTCAAACTGGCACATGACTTTTCCCCAAATAATTCTGTTCTAAATTTGAGGAAACTGGGTTTACCTATGAAAAATCTGGAAAACTACTCATCATTTCTTCTGTGATTCTGAGTGAAAATAATAGTAAAAATATTTTGGAGTTTTTAAGTTTTACTAATTTTCAGGAACTTGAAGAATGAATCTTCTTATTTAATCCCATGATTAAATCTCTGACTTAAAAATAAAGACAATTTATTTTTGATCTTTAAACAAACAAACAAATAAATAGAGTTCATACCCAGATCTTGGTTTCTAAACAGCATTCTTCAATACAAGGAACCAGAGCTCCTTTGAAGAATGATTAGGGCTGAGCCAGAGAAAAGACAGGATGAGCAAGGAGACCTTGTAGTGCTGGAAAGCAAAGAAGTACTTATTTAAAAAAAAGTGGAGTTTGGGGGGCCATGTCAAAAAGACGCAGATCTGACCTGCAGGAGCTACCAGTCACCAAAACTGCAATGATTTGAACAATAAAATAAATCACAATGGTATTGGAACATAACCCAAAGAATAAAACAAATGCCCATGAGTCTAATCTGATATAAATAAATGAATAAATAAATACACTTTGGGAGGCCAAGGTGGGTAGATCACTTGAGATCAGGAGTTCGAGACCAACCTGGCCAACATGGTGAAACCCTGTCTCTACTAAAAATACAAAAATTAGCTGGGTGTGGTGATGGGCGCCTGTAATACCAGCTGCTCAGGAGGCTGAGGCAGGAGAATAGTTTGAACCTGGGAGGTGGAGATTGCAGTGAGCCGAGATTGTGCCGCTGCACTCCAGCCTGGGCAACAGAGTGAGACTCTGTCTCAAAAAAAAAAAAAAAGAGTAAATGAGAAGGAACAAGTCTTCCTTACAGAAGAATTTTGATTAATAAATATAGGAGGACTGTATACAGTGGTTCACACATGTAATCCCAGCACTTTGGGAGGCTGAGGTAGGAGGATTGCTTGAGGCCAGGAGTTTGAGACTGGCATAGACAAAGTGAGACTCCATCTCTGCAAAAACTAGAAATGAAAAATTAGCTGGGTGTGGTAGCAGACACCTGTAGTCCTACCTACAAGGGAGGCTGAAGTGGGAGCATCGCTTGAGCCTATGAGTTTGAGGCTGCAGTGACCTATGATTGCACCACTGCATTCCAGTATGAGTGACAGAGACCCTGTCTCAAAAAATAAAAATAAATAAAACAAAGAATGGGAAAAATAAATAACCATTAGAATACCACATAATAGTTGCTGCAAGGTCTACAAATGATTGCTAAAATTAGGTGAAATGTTAAGAAGAAACAGAATATTTGCATAGTCTCAAAGAATCTCCCCCAAAATATTTATCAATTACTATGATGATTTTGACATATGTCAGCAAAGTCTGTGTTATTCCTGCCACTGGAAGGTGGAACTTAATTCTCCCCTTGATAGACTTAGTGACTCACTTCTAACAAATTGAGGAAAGGAAGGAAAAAATAGTAACTTTATAGTGGAGTAAATGGCAGACATCACTTGACCCAAATCATCATGTTGACATCACTGGTAGTAAGTCATATTGATATCACATACCCCCTGATATGAAGCTAAGAGAAATACAGTTTGCCTCTGTGATATTCTTCCCCCAAATCCATAACCCTAGTCTTCAAAAGTGTCAGGGTCATGAAAGACAAGACTGAGAAACTGTCACAAATTGAAGGAGACTGAGGAGGTATAACAACTAAATGCAACATGGTATCTTGGATTGAATCCTGGAACAGAAAAAGGACATTAGTGGAACAACTGGTGAGATTTAGATAGTTAGTAGTTTAGTGAATAGTATTGTGCTGATGTTCATTTCTTAGTTTTAATAAGTATATCATGGTTATGTCAGATGTCAGTATTAGAAAAAGCAGGGGAAGGCTGGGCACGGTGGCTCATGTCTGTAATCCCAGCACTTTGGGAGGCCAAGGCGGGCAAATCACCTGAGGTCAGGAGTTCAAGACCAGCCTGACTGACATGGTGAAACCCCGTTTCTACTAAAAATACAAAAATCAGTTGGTCGTGGTGGTGGGCGCCTGTAATCCCAGCTATTTGGGAGGCTGAGGCAGGAGAATTGCTTGAACCCAGGAGGTGGAGGTTGCAGTGAGCCGAGATTGTGCCATTGCACTTCAGCCTGGGCAACAAGAGCGAAACTCCGTCTTAAAAAAAAAAAAAAAAAAAAAAAAAAAAGCAGGGAAAAAGGAAACTCTGCTTTTTCCAATTCTTATTTATTTATTTAGACAGGGTCTTGCTCTGCTGCCCAGACTGGAGTGCAGTGGCGTGATCCTAGCAGCCTCAAATTCATGGCCTTAAGCAGTCTTCTCACCTCAGCCTCCCAATTAGCTAGGACTACAGATTCATGCCACCACGCCTGGCCAATTTTTAATATTTTTTGTAGAGACAGAGTCTTGTTTGTTGTGTTACCCAGGCTGGTCTTGAACTCCTGGCCTCAAGCAGTCATATCACCTCAGCCTCCCAAAGTGTTGGGATTCTAGGTGTGAGCCACCATGCTCGGCCTCTTTCCATTCTCAGGTAAATCTCAAGTTACTTAAAAGCAAAGAGTTTCTTCAAAAGTCGTAATACATCACCTGTAGCCCTGTAGGCATTACAAAATAAATAAATAATATACTTTTAAAATAAAATGTTTAAAGGAAAAGAGACCCCAAAGGTGGGGCTTCACTTTAAAGAAAATTTAGTGTGTGTTATGCTGAACATTAAGGTATTGGACAACATTTTTGTTTGATTCTTAGCAAGCTTAGTAGGAGTTAAGCCTTGCTAGATTTTTAAGGATGACAAATAGCGAAGTCATACTATTTCTTCATTTGAAATGATGAACTGCCTTGGATAGTAAAGTTAAGTGTGTTTGTAGCAGCATGTGTTAGATGATCTCTGAGTATTTCAAATAGAATGAAAAGTTTTCATTGAAGCTCTAGGGTTTCGGTTTAAATTATTTGTTTTCTTTCCCCAGATATAAAGACCTGATGCCACATGATTTGGCTAGAGCAGCACTTACGTAAGTAAATGCAGTTTCATTTCCGTTCTTATTTCGTTAAAGGCACTTTCTCCAGTTTTTACACATAAAATAGCAATTTGTTCTTATTTTCACCATCTGTACTACACAAATTTAAGCAGCTTATGAATATCATCAATCTTTATTTTGCAGGCTTAACAGTATCTTAGCATGACAGTATATTTTAATGCTATCCTAGCTAGCCACAGGACTCGATTGATCAGCCTAAACACAATACATATATTTGGTAATTGCCTTAGGAACTTGTATAAGGGTAGCTGAACAGATTATGTAGATATTTACCTAGAAAGAATCCTAAAAGACACCTGAAGATTCATGTGCAAACCAAGTAAAAATCTAAAATTAGATGCAGTTAAATAAGATTGGGCTGGATGAATAATTTGGTGAGAGTCATGAAATGTGTTGCTGTTTCTGGGATAAAGTAACATGTAAGGCATTATCTCATTCATTTTCCATTGACACTTTGCCTTTGTGTCTTCAACCAACCACAGCTCTTTCTTAGTTTGGAGAAACCCTTCAGTTGACCTTTCTGTCCATTCTAACTCTGTTTTTTTTTCTTCTCTTCCTGCAAGACCTCAAGCATGAGTGAAACGGCAGTTGTTTCTGTTTCCTTACTATCAGTTTCCTCTAATTGTATAATCATTATTTCCATTCTCCCTTTGTTTTACAGAAACCATACTTTAGAACCTTCTCTTAATAATGGTTTTGTGATTGCTAAATGTACTGATCTTTTCTCAGTCCACTGTCTCTGTACTTTATAGCACTTGACACTGTAAGCTGTACTCACCTGTCTTCTATTGACTTCTTAGTAATATGCCTTTATGATTTTTCTTCTGTATTCTGACTGACTCTTCTCTACCTTAAAAAAAAACTAGGCCATGCACGGCATTTCATGCCTGTAGTCCCAGCACTTTGGGAGGCCGAGGTGGGTGGATCACCTGAGGTCAGGAGTTTGAGACCAGCCTGACCAACATGAAGAAACCGTCTCTACTAAAAATACAAAATTAGCCAGGCGTAGTGGTGCATGCCTGTAATCCCAGCTACTTGGAAGGCTGAGGCAGGAGAATCCCTTGAACCTGAGAGACAGAGGTTGCAGTGAGCCGAAATCACGCCATTGCACTGGGCAACAAGAATGAAACTCCATCTCAAAACACACACACACACACACACACACACACACACACACCCATGAAACCATCTCAAAACACACACACACACACACACCCCCCCCCCAAAAAAAACCAAAAAACTGGATCTTTCCCTCTTTCTCTTTTTGAAAGGCATTTTGCAAGTTTTATTCCTTAGAGCTTTGCATTTCTCTGTATGCATATTTTCCTTTTAAAAATCTCATCTACCAGCTGGGCATGGTTTCTCACACCTATATTCCCAGCACTTGAGAAACCAAGGCAGGAAGGTCAAGGTAGGAGGATCTTTTGAGCCCAGGAGTTTGAGACCAGCCTAAGCAACATAGCAAGACTCCATCTCTATGAAAAAAATTTTAAAAATTAACCAAGCAAGAATTACTTTGGCTCAGGAGTTGAAAGTTGCAATGAGCTATGATCCCACTACTATACTCCAGGCAGGGCAATAGAGCAAGACTTTGTCTCAAAAAAAAAAAAAATTTTTTTTAAATTTTTGATTTATTTTTTTCTGGATGGAGTCTCACTCTGTCCAAGGCTGGAGTACAGTGGCTTGATCATAGCTCACTGCAACCTCGAAGCCTCCCAAGTAGCTGGAACTATAGGCGTGAGCCAATATATCTAACCCTCTTTTAGTTTTTTTAATTGATAAGGACTTACAGATTTTTATTTATTTATTTCATTATAGCCAAGTTTAGTCATTACTCATTTTGAAGCTCAGCTTATTTCACATTTTATCTGGCACTCCTTCAAGTTGACTCCAGTGTGCCTTTTGTTTTTTAGTATAATACTGGTTGTTGATATATAATTTGCATGTAATAAAGTGCACAGATTTTAAGTGTATAGTTTGATGAGTTTTGACAAATGTGTATACCCCATGTTCCTGTTTTTGATATGGTCCCATTTGTCCTTTTTTTTTTCTTTGACATGGAGTTTCACTCTTGTTGCCCAAGTTGGAGTGCAATGGCACGATCTCTGCTCACTGCAGCCTCCACCTCCCAGGTTCAAGCAATTCTCCTGCCTCAGCCTCCTGAGTAGCTGGGATTACAAGCACACGCCACCAGGCCCAGCTAATTTTTTTTTTGTATTTTTAGTAGAGATGGGGTTTTGCCATGTTAGCCAGGCTGGTCTCGAAGTCCTGACCTCAAGTGATCCACCTGCCTCGGCCTCCCAAAGTGCTAGGATTACAGGCTTGAGCCACTGTGCCCGCCTGATGTCGTCCCATTTATCTTTGAGTGCTTCCTTACTTTTGGCACAAAAAAGATGGAGATTCATTTTGTACTTTCCTTTGGACCTGGTATCAGTCATTTCCTAAAAAACCTTTTGTCCCTTTAATGGGGAATGGCATTTAGAAACCTAGTCTGGGGCTGGGTGCAGTGGCTCACGCCTGTAATCCCAGCACTTTGGGAGGCCAAGGCTGGTGGATCACTTGTAGTCAGGAGTCCAAGACAAGCCTGGCTAACATGATGAAACCCTGTTTCTACTAAAAATACAAAAATTAGCCAGGCGTCATGGCAGGCGCTTGTAGCCCCAGCTACTCGGGAGGCTGAGGCAGGAGAATCGCTTAAACCCAGGAGGTGGAGGTTGCAGTGAGCCGAGATTGTGCCAGTACACTCCAACCTGGGTGAAAGAGCGAGACTCTTGTCTCAAAAAAAAAAAAAAAAAAGTCTGGGTTCAGGGAGTGCTCATTCCTACTGGAGTGTTATTGTGTCTAGTTTCTATTCATGGGCACAACTAGAATGTATATATTATTTCAATTATTTGTTGATATTGATATTTCAAACTAAAATTTAACATACCCAGAACTTTTTTTTTAAATTTATTTTTTTAATAGTTTGAAGGGAGACTTTGTTTTATCTCTTTGATTGAATATTTGTCTCTCTTTTTTACTGAGAACTTTGGTTTCTACTAACATTAATTAATTTATAGGTTTCTTATCTATTTTATCCTATTCCAAATTATTTTTTATTCTTCTCTAACTTCTCATTACCAATTGAGCATCAAATGTTGACTTTAAAATCACTCTTTCATTCATTTCTTCTTTGAGAAGGTGCCAAATGCTTGTCAAATTAAAAGATACAATCTCTGTCCTTTCAAATTCAAGGCTAACCTTTTTTTTTTTGTTTTTTTGGAGATGGAGTCTCACTCTGTTGCCCAGGCTGGAGTGCAGTGGCACCATCTCGGCTCACTGCAAGCTCCACCTTCCGGGTTCACGCCATTCTCCTGCCTCAGCCTCCCGAATAGCTGGGACTACAGGCGCACGCCACTATGCCCGGCTAATTTTTTTTTGTATTTTTAGTAGAGAAGGGGTTTCACCATGTTGGCCAGGATGGTCTCGATCTCCTGACTTCGTGATCCGCCCATCTCGGCCTCCCAAAGTGCTGGGATTACAGGCGTGAGCCACCGTGCCCGGCAAGGCTAACCTTTTTTAAGGAGCACAGTGTTTTGTGTGATGATCTCTGGCACTGCCTTGATGTGTGAAATGTTTCTTTGCTTTGGATTTCTACTTCCAGGGGTTTGTTGCATCGGACCAGTGTCCCTAAGGAAGTAGTTGATTATATCATCTTTGGCACAGTTATTCAGGAAGTGAAAACAAGCAATGTGGCTAGAGAGGTGAGTAAAACAAACTTTATGTTGTTTAAAGAGTGATAGTAGAATCACTTTGAATTTCAATTAATAGAAGTTACTTTATAAAAGCCTTTAATATCTATTTAGTTACATTTGACCTAAAATGTGATTTTACAGCTTGGGTAATGTGTTATTTAATATGTAAAAGAATTCTAATATAAATCAAATGACATACACAATATGTAAAAGAATTCTAATATAAATCAAGTGACATACACTATATTAGTGTATATTCATACTTTACTGTAAATCAAATAAATTTTTTGAGCTGGTTTAGGACATTGTCTCTTGTGTTAGGAAAATAGAGATCAGCAAAGTGCGGCTGATAGTATTTTTAGTAATGTTAGATATCATGGCTTCCAGTTAATTTAAAATTTCAACATTTTGCAGAGAACTAATTTCATAACTTGGTTTTTGTTAGCTGGAAGTAGCCTTGCTTACTCATTTGTTCCCATCGACTAGATGGCACGTCAGGCAGTTTGGCTTTTTAAAAACGATTTCACAGAAGTTTACTTTTGCCCTAGTTGGCATAGCTCCATGTAGTGTCGATTGAGCAACCAAGATAATGACAGGCCTTGGAACTTCTAGGACGTGTCCTACAGCAAGTCCAAACACGTCTTCTGGGCTGTTTCAATTTGAAAGCGATTGTTTGGATGAAGTTGGCACCAAAAGACATTTCGTTGTGCTCAGCATTTTCCCTAGTTCCGGTCTGTGCTTGCCATATTGTTGAGTTCAGTGTAGTTGTGAGGGTAATAACTTCTATCACTGTCGACTGAGAGACAAAGGCAAATAAGCAGGACTGAAAGTATTTGTTCTGTTCCACCTCTGTACCTGTCAGAAATGTTAAAACTGCTGAAGACCTGGCATGACTGAAGCCGACAAAGATCAACTGTGTGCTGTTGAGGGACAGGAAGGAATTAACAACAGGAAGAGATTTTATTTCCCCTCTGAAATTTTTTGTTTTTCCTTGAACCTTGACATTTCTGAATGTTTCAAATATGACAATTTTGTGAATACATCAAGCTGCTCATAATACATTTTCAACTTTTATATTCTGAAAATAACCAAGTGACTTTTATAAGAGCACTCAAGATGTAAATAGTAAAATTTTTTGCTCTTTTCTCCTCTTGCTCAGCTTTTTATCCCCCTCTTTCTTCCTTCTCCTCCTCAAAAATAAATAAATAAATAAATATAAATACATGTTTCCATTTTCTCTGTAATTCAGTTCTTTTTTTCCCTAAAACTAAAGCCGTAATGTTTTTCTCTGAATTTTTCCCTGGAAATTTTACATCCATATGCAGATCTCAGCTATTGATTGACAGGAGGTAGATTCCCTCTGCCTGCCCTGTTCTAATACCAGTTATGTTACACTCCAGGTAATTTTTGCAGTATCTGCATGGAAAGACTGGGTTGAGGGGATACATTATAAGAATGTCACTTTAAAGCTGTATTGCAGCCTAAAAGCTAACATAATTTCCAGCCAAAGAATTTCTTAGGCTCTATTGCCTGTATTAACAATGTTAGTATAGTATAGTAAAAGGCTTGTGGTGTTGCTGTGAACCTGACTTTGTTGAAAGGTTCAGCATATTTCCCTGTTCTCCAACTTAGAGGCATCTTCCTCCTTTTCCCTTAGTGCCCTGAGAGCTATTCAAACTTTCAATAGAAGTGTGTGGACAAGGGTCACCAATAGCCACCTCTATTTAAAGCTCCTTCAGTCCTGAGAGTCATCTAGGGCCAAGGGCAACACATACTAGAAAGGCCCTTGTGAGAATCAAGCCATTGCAACCTAATGCCCCTTTTACACTTGCCCCACTGCAGAGCTCTTCTCTCCTGCCCCCCTGAGATACTTAACGTCTCTCTTCCTTTTGGATTGGTTTATGCTGAGAGGCTGATGCGCAGGTGCCCGGCAGACGTTCTCAACAAAGCAGGTTGGGCATTTAGTATCAGGCCTACCTGGAAAGACCAGAATGAAGTCATGTTGCAGATACATCACTGTAACACATTTCTGTTTCTATAGATGATGGTAAATAGCATAAAAGTAAATAAGTATAAAGGTAAAAATCAGTTAAGAGACATTGAATCTCTAATTGAGACTTTGGAAACTTTTATTTTACTAAGTTATAGGAGAGTTTGCATTCTGAGGATAATTAGTTTTGGAAAAGAGTACTAAAAATGAATTCCCTATAATGGGATCCAGTATTTCATAGTAAATAGTGTGTGGGTGTGTATGTGGAGGGAAATCTGGAAGCTTTATTTCTAAAGTAAAACTTTAATATTATAAAAATAAGTATTTTACAGTTGCACCTATGCATTAATTATTTACATAAACAAAAATGGGATCAGACATTGATTGGTTTTTGGCAGCATAATTTCCCCCAATAAATAGTATAATAAAATTATAGATGTCCTCATTTCATGTTTGACTTTCACTGTGCCATTATAATAGAGGCCGTTTTTACAAGATTAATGATGACCTCAGTTTTTCTTAAAGCCGCTCAGATGACAAATTATTCTCTCTGTATCACCTATTATGCCATCATCCTGGCCACTTGTTAACTGGTCTGACCCTTACTTGTTCACAGGCTCACTTGTAACTCAGGCAATTCTCCAGTTTCTTTCATTGAGTTGAGCTTCTGTATAGTTGGCAAGTTTTCCAGTTCATCTTTGCATTGGGTCTGCAGTGTGCTAACCGAAGTATCAGATGGTCAGTAAGAGAGAACAGCTGGCCGTGAGCAGAAAGATAGGTGTAAAGCAAATAGGGTCTTAAGTGGGAACTCTGTTTATGAATGGTCAGTTCTTTAGAAATCATTTTCATGTTTAATCACTTTTGCTTTGCTGCTAAGCTTTGTGACTGATGATGAGACCTGATAACACAGATTGTGAAGACTCCACCCCGTAATATATTTCATCATCATTTCACCAACTGTCTTTAATAGGTTCCTTTAAGTATATTTGAACATTAAACAAGTTAAAATCAAATTATATATTGATATCCTTGAAGGCCCTGAGCAAAGCATCGATAAGAAATTAGGTGAGTTAGAAGAGTATTATAGCCTCGTGTCTGCACTAGAAACCAGCCAGCAGGAATTTTGCATATACCTGTCAATTAATGGCATGATTAGGTATTAGTAAACCATTTCTGTGATAGGCTTAATTTTATTTTAAATATTGCTCTGGAGAATTTTAAACTGAAACCCTTTTCAGATGACAATAAAGATTAGTGTTCAAAGCATCATTTACATGATGCCCTTCCCTTAGAGTGATCATTTCATTCACTGTATTTCCTGAAGGCTGCCCTTGGAGCTGGCTTCTCTGACAAGACTCCTGCTCACACTGTCACCATGGCTTGTATCTCTGCCAACCAAGCCATGACCACAGGTATGTTTAAATGGAAGCAGACAGTACATGTTAATTTTCCTCCTTTGTCTTTTACTTGATTATAAAAATGTACTTTTTTTTTTTTTTTTTTTTGTTTAAACAGAATCTCACTCTGTCACTCGGGCTGGAGTGCATTGGCACCATCGTAGCTCACTGCAGGCTCAAACTCTTGAACTCAGGAGATCCTCCTGCCTTAGGATCCCAAGTAGCTGGGTCTACAGGCACTCCACCACACCTAGCTAATTTTTCAGTTTTCTGTGGAGACAGGATCTCGCCATGTTGCCCAGGCTGGTCTTACACCTCTGGCCTCAAGTGATCCTTCTACCTCAACCTCCAAAGTGCTGGGATTACAGGCATGAGCCACCAAGCTCATCCCAAAAAGTACTCTTAGCAGAAGTGATAGATTAGCACAGATCTCTACTTGTGTTTTTTAAAAAGAAAGGTCAAGTTTAAAATTTGGGAGTTCTAACCATAGTTAACCTCTCTTTTTGCTCTCCATACCTGAGGGATGTTACCATTGGCGTGGTTCCTCTGTGAATAATGTGGCTGGCTGCAGCAGGGATTATCAAATGGAGGAGTATATCTCTAGGAAGGTACTTCAGCATCTGAAGCATGAGTAAATAGTTTACAACCTGCCAGGCTTTCAACCTAGTGCTTCAGATATGATATTTTCCCACAAAGATATGGTCTTCCTTCCTTCACCACTACCATACTTGTAAATCATTGCTTTAGATGGCACAGCTCTTTCCTTCACTTTCTTCCCGCATCCTTGGCATTTTTGTAAATCATTGAAAATTCCCCTAACAAATTTTAACAAAATTACGGGGTATTTTGTAGCATCAGCCTGTAGTGTGAAGAGACAGGAAGTCTGAAAGATTTAGTAATCATATGCTCGTCTAGTAACATCAAGGCCCAGGTGGGCAGCCCACCTCATATGTGGCGGGGAATGATGCCTGTGACTGGGGGTGTTCACCACTCTAGGCAGCATGTGACCAACTCCTGGTTAGAGAAACAGAATAGGCTCAGCGCGGCGGCTCACGCCTGTAATCCCAACACTTTGGGAGGCCAAGGTGGGCGGATCACGAGGTCAGGAGATCGAGAACATCCTGGCTAACACAGAGAAACCCTGTCTCTACTAAAAATACAAAAAAAAAATTAGCCAGGCATGGTGGTAGGCGCCTGTAGTCCCAGCTACTTGGGAGGCTGAGGCAGGAGAATGGCGTGAACCCGGGAGGTGGAGCTTGCAATGAGCCAAGATCGCACCACTGCACTCCAGCCTGGGAGACAGAGCGAGACTCCGTCTCAAAAAAGAAAAAAATAATAGTGGCCATAAGGAGAGAGGGGGCCTGCCTTACATTTTAACAGCTGGAATTTATCTGCTTTGTAGCAGAAGTTAACATTCTCTTTATAGGATAAAAAAATATTTCTTAAAACTAAAGCTGGGAGCATATAAATATGCAAGATGTTCTGGTTTGGAATAATGATTTGTTCAAGAGTTGGTCCAATGGATATTTCTAGAAGTTGATGTCCATATGGCAGGAATGAAAACTTGTTTTTCTCTAACGTGTTGAATGTGTTTTTAGTCATTTAAAACAATTACCTTAATTCTTCTGAAAAGTTGAAAACTTTAATTACAGATGTTGTACAAAGCTGATAACTGTTATTCAGCCTTTTAATCAAGAAGCTTAAATTGGAATGGCATGTTATTTTCTGTAAAAGATATTCATGAAGTATAACCTGTGCCCTGTAGGCGTTGGCTTGATTGCTTCTGGCCACTGTGATGTGATCGTGGCAGGTGGTGTTGAGTTGATGTCCGATATCCCTATTCGTCACTCAAGGAAAATGAGAAAACTGATGCTTGATCTCAATAAGGCCAAATCTATGGGCCAGCGACTGTCTTTAATCTCTAAATTCCGATTGAATTTCCTAGCACCTGAGGTAAGGCTTGTGTTTGCAGGGCATCCTACTGCAGAGATTTAGAATTAGGTATGGCAATGTGGACTCTGCTATGCTGTAGTAGGTGTAGATTCTGTAGTTACAGGAAAGGGTTATTTGGTCAAGTTGATAAAAAAACATAGTGGGTAGAAAACTTTAATTTGTGAGCCCTCTTTAGAGATCCTCTGCTGACAAAGAACTTCCCTTGTCTTGGTCTTGATTGATTAATGGTAAACAAATAGATTTTAACTTTTCCAAATAACACAGAACAATCCTCGGTGTTGGAATAACACCTGTTAACAGTGTACCTGCTTCTCGGATATCTCCTTTCCCAGCTTCCTGCGGTTGCTGAGTTCTCCACCAGTGAGACCATGGGCCACTCTGCAGACCGACTGGCTGCCGCCTTTGCTGTTTCTCGGCTGGAACAGGATGAATACGCACTGCGCTCTCACAGTCTGGCCAAGAAGGCACAGGATGAGGGACTCCTTTCTGATGTCGTACCCTTCAGAGTACCAGGTAAAATGAAATGCTTCATGACACTAATTAGGGAGTTCTGAATTGCTCCTAAAACTCAAAAAAATCCCAAGTGATTTTTCAATAAGTATGTTGGTTCTGTTTCCAAAGTATTCAGTCTTTATTCTTAAGTATGGATGCAAATTTTGATTTATGTTGTAACAATAGGTAAACATTTTTTTAAAGTTTCTATAAGAGTGTCCTTTTAAGGTCTGAGCACTAATCTCAGCACTTTGGGAGGCTGAGGCAGGAGGATCACTTGAGGCCAGGAGTTAAGACCAACCTGGTCAACAGAGTGAGACTTCATCTCTAATTAAAAAAAAAAAAAGAAAAACAAACAGAGTCTCCTTTTAGATCTTGCTGATATATTTTAGTTCTTACCTACATGCCTGTTTTTAAAATTCCTGAATCGTCTGACTTCTGTATAGAATAACCAACTGTGAATGAATGTCTTAAGAAATAGGATGTCCTATTTTTAGTAAAGCATTTAGATGATTTCCCAATTGTCTTTTAAGACTTTAGTTTAAAATTTGATAATATGATAATTATAAAACACTTTCCTTCTAGTGAATAGGTAAGGTTTATATTTCATTTGTTTTTGTAATTTTTGAAGCATATTTCTCTGGAGAAGATATATAAGGCTTATAGTTCCAAAGAGGTAAAAAAAATTCATTTTTTTAATAGGAAAAGATACAGTTACCAAAGATAATGGCATTCGTCCTTCCTCACTGGAGCAGATGGCCAAACTAAAACCTGCATTCATCAAGCCCTACGGCACAGTGACAGCTGCAAATTCTTCTTTCTTGGTAACTGTCAATGCTATTTGTATTTAGTAGTGACTTTTCTATTTCTGTACTCTCTGTAGAAAAGCCTAATATAAATTTTTGTGTGTGTGTTATGAATAGAGGGTAAAAATATAGTTATTCATTTTAATGTGAAAGTGGAGTCATAAAAAAAAAAATGGAATCATGGTTTTAAGGCCCGAGAAGTTACCTAGTCCAGCCACCATTCTGCTACAAAAGCTCTTTTCTTCAGACACTTAACCAGTCAGAAAACTTCTATTGCTTATGGTGGGCCCTGGAAATGAAAAGAATAGACAATTGCAATATAGTGAGATGCTGTGATGGCTGTAAGCATAGGCTTAGGCTTAGGTCGAGCCCCTGACACAGATCGGGGGATAGTCGGAGAGTCATCTTGGAAGAGGTAACACTTGAGCAGCAAATCTTGAAGGAAAAGTGAGAGCTAACTCAGAAAGGATTTTAAAAGGCATTCCAGGCCAGGCGCAGTGGCTCACGCCTGTAATCCCAGCACTTTGGGAGGCTGAGGCAGGCAGATCACCTGAGGTCAAGAGTTCGAGACCAGCCTGGCCAACATGGAGAAACCCCATCTCTACTAAAACTACAAAATTAGCCAGGTGTGGTGGCACATGGCCTGTAATCCCAGCTACTCGGGAGGCTGAGGCAAGAGAATTGCTTGAACCCGGGAGGCGCGGAGGTTGCAGTGAGCCGAGATTGCACCATTGCACTCCAGCCTGGGCAACAAGAGTGGATCAAGCTCACTGCAACCTCCACTCCGGGTTCAAGTGATTCTCCTTGCCTCAGCCCTCCCAAGTTCCGGGACTACAGGTCGTGTGCCACCACACTAGCGCCTAAGTTTGTTGTATCATTTTTCAGCGTAGAGATGCGGTTTACCCGTGTTAGCCAGGTTTGCGCTCTTGATCTACTGCTCATGATCTCCCACCTCACAGCCCTCCCAGACAGCGTTCTGCGGCATACTAGGCATGAGCCACCACGCTGGCCATGAGCATTATTTCCCTAAACTTACCCCCTTCTTGATTCATTTTGATATTTGAACTTTTGAACAGCCTTCTCTACCTCCTCATCCTTCCAAAAAATTCAACGTCTGTGTGGTGTATGTTTGAATCAATTTAATGATGGATAAGCGAAGTAAGTGTTATTATAGCAGAATCACTGATAAAGTCTAATGAAGCCTAATAGAATTCCCAGGCTACAAACAATATAAGCTTCGCTGAGAAAACGACCTCCAAGATAGGCTGAAAATTTTAACATGTGTGCCGTTAACATTAGACACAGATGCGCATCCTGCATGTTGTTTATGCAGGGAAAAGCTTGCCATGGTTATAACCGAAGGCAATTATTCTGAGTAAAGTAAATGTTCAAACAAGTCATCTCTGATTTCTTATTACCAGAAGCTTACCCTCTCATTTTTTTACCTACGGCGATTTTATGTATGTGTCTCAATCCCAAAAAAATCACTGTTACTGGGTGGTACCTGTTCGTAAATCCTTGGACTAAATCACAAACTATTTATTGCCACTTTATTCATAGCTGGTAATAATGGTTAACATGTTTATTATTTATTTATTTATTACACTGGTTTGGAGTAATTGAAAGCCCTGAGTTCATAAATGGTTTATGTGGTGTTATTTTTTGTTTTTTTGGCGGGTGCCTGTAGTCCCAGCTACTCAGGAGGCTGAGGCAGGAGAATGGCGTGAACCCGGGAGGCAGAGCTTGCAGTGGGCTGAGATCAAGCCACTGCACTCCAGCCTGGGTGACACAGCAAGACTCCGTCTCAAAAAAATAAATAAAAATAAACTGCTTTACACTGACACCAATATTATTTTCTTGTAAGCATCATGGAACAAATCTGCCACTGTTTGTTTTGTGTGTGTGTGTGTGTGTGTGTGTGTATGTGTGTGTGTGTGTGTGTGTGTGTTTTTAACTTATCAACATGTAGCTTCATATCCTTCCTTGCTTTTCTGACTCCTCAGTTAAACATCTTTATTGATTCTGCTGCTGCTTGTAAGATGTGATTTCTCTTCTCTTACCACCTTGGATATAGTCTTCTGGATATAGGCCATCTGGTCAAAGTTTCTTTTACAATGTAACTCTCCTACCTGGCCATAAAGTCTTGAAAACATAGGCAGATGTTTGACATATTTGCCCATGGTAAATGACTAATTAATGCCTGCGCTTGATAGGCTAGGGGAGTGGACTCTAGAGTAGTTCCAACAGTGTGGAACACCACCCTGTTAATCCCAGGTGGTGAAGAGCTGGTTAGGTTGGTCATTTGCAAAACCAAATTGGATGATAGAGCCATGTGGCATGGAGTACACATGTCAGATCTGCATCCTTTTGATTACTTCCAGGGTATGCTAAAGGTCCAGGTTTATTTAGTGAGAATCAGAGACAAATCATCAGAGGTGACACATCACAATACATGGATTTTGGGGACTGCATTAATGCCCCACATTCATTGCAATTTTGCACAATGGCACACTGAACCTGTTAGTAATGTAATGTCTGTAAACCATTTATTCCAAATGGTCACCTGTGCCTCCAGAAGTTATGGACACCCTATTGGTGGCTACACAGTCTCTTCAGGGTTGCCGAGTTATAAAAATATGACAGAATATGGTAGAACTTATTTTGATTTTACAAATTATGAAGAATAGTTTCCTCTTCTTTGGAATTGTAGACTTTTTGGGGGAGCTTTTCTTTTTCAAAGTATGGTAAGGACGTTTTTTCAGTAGTACTTCTTTGTCCTCCAGCTTCTCGGTTGTCACTTGGGAAGAAATGTATGGGGTGTATCCAAAGAGGGAAGATTGTGTTTCTAATGTCCTCAGCTGGTTCTCCCGTTGATTTGCTCGTTATAGAATATATAAGTAGAATAAAATGACCTATAAGCCATGGGCAGAAAGCAGCTGGGAAACAGCCCAGAAAATGTAAAAATAAATAAGAGATATGTTTATTTTGGTTAATATTTTGTGCCAGAAACTAAAAACTTTGGCTTAAATAAGTATTTATTATAAGCACTTCTTTCTTTTTTTCTTTTTCTTTCTTTTTTTTTTTTTGAGACAGAGTCTCGCTCTGTCACCCAGGCTGGAGTGCAGTGGGGTGATCCACAGCTCACTGCAACCTCCACCTCCCGGGTTCAAGTGATTCTCCTGCCTCAGCCTCCCAAGTAAGCTTGGATACAGGTGTGTGCACCACACCTGGCTAAGTTTTTGTATTTTTAGTAGAGATGCGGTTTACCGGTTAGCAGGTTGGTTCTTGATCACCTGCCTCATGTCTGCCACCTCAGCCTCCCAGAGTTTCTGGGATTATAGGCATGAGCCATCCACGCCTGCCATGGAGCATTTATTCTAACTTACCCTCTTTCTGTTGAATTCATTTTATATTATGTGATACTTTTTGAACAGCGCTTCTCGTACCCTCCATCCTTCAAAAATTAGTCTGTGTGTGTATTGTTTGAATTATAATTTATGATGGTACCAGCCGAAGTATGTTTATTATACAGCGAAATCACTGGTTAAGTCTAATCAGTTAATAGATCAGGTACAGGAAACATATAAGCTGGCTGGAAAAGACCCTCCGATAGGCTGAAGAATTTTACCATTGTGCTGGTTAACATTTCAGACTGATGGGCGCATCTGCATGTTGGATTATTGCAGAGGAAAAGGCTTTGGCATCTGGGTTATAAGCGAAGGATATTTTTTGATGGTAAAGGAAATGTTCAAGACGAATCATTCTCTGATTTCTTTATATTACCAGAGCTTAACCTCTCTATTTTTTTACCTAGGGATTTTATGTATGTGGTCTCAGGATCCAAAAGATCAACTGTTACTGGGGTAGGTAGCGTTTGTATCCTTGGACTATAATCACAAAATATTTGATTGCCCACGTTTTATTATACTGGTTAATAAATGGTTAACACTGGTTTATTATTTTATTTATTTATTACACTGGTTTGAGAGTATATTAAGCCCTGAGTTCATAATGTGGTTTATGTGGTGGTTTTTTTTGTTTTTTTTTTTTTAAATAATAGTAATCTGGGCAGGCACAGTGCTCACACCTGTAATCTCAGCACTTTGGGAGGCCAAGGCGGGCAGATCACAAGGTCAGGAGATTGAGACCATCCTGGCTAACACGGTGAAGCCCTGTCTCTACTAAAAATACAAAAAAATTAGCCGGGTGTGGTGGCGGGCGCCTGTAGTCCAGCTACTCGGGAGGCTGAGGCAGGAGAATGACGTGAACCCGGGGGGCGGAGCTTGCAGTGAGCCGAGATCGCACCACTGGCACTCCAGCCTGGGCGACAGAGTGGACTCTGTCTCAAATAAATAATAAATAAATAAAATAAATAAATAAAATAATAGTAATCCTTTCCATTGGTATATCATTTTACAGTTTGGATTATTTCCATTTTTTCCTTTAAGTTTTACATATATATATGGAGCACACAACTTAACTTTTTTCATGAAGTTATCGTAGGCATTTTTTCATATGGCTACACACCCTGCTACACAATCTTCGTAATACAGCCCTTTTATAAAAAGCCTCTGCATGTTTAGACTCCGTTCCGCTCCTCACAAGGCTGTAGCCTCACTGGCCTCCACTGTGACATTCACATCAGTCAAGCCCTTTCCTTTGCCTTGCTCTTTGAACTCTGTTCTTCAGTTCTTCATGTTATTAGCTTGTCCTTATCCCTCATTGTTATTTTATTATCAATTTCTCTGACTCTGCAACATTGTAAGGGTAAAGGGCATGTCTGTACAGTTTCATTAATTTATCTTTAACATTTAATTAATCAGTACAGAAAAACAAGAATGAGTGAAAAGACAGACTATTATGTTATTTATTTATTTATTATTTTTTTTTGAGACGGAGTCTCACTCTGTCGCCCAGGCTGGGTGCAGTGGCCGGATCTCAGCTCACTGCAAGCTCCGCCTCCTGGGTTCACGCCATTCTCCTGCCTCAGCCTCCCGAGTAGCTGGGACTACAGGCGGCCGCCACCTCGCCCGGCTAATTTTTTGCATTTTTTTAGTAGAGACGGGGTTTCACCGTGTTAGCCAGCATGGTCTCGATCTCCTGACCTCGTGATCCGCCCGTCTCGGCCTCCCAAAGTGCTGGGATTACAGGCTTGAGCCACCGCGCCCGGCCAGAGTACTTATGTTAAACTCAGTTTGGGGAATATGAAGAAGCTCTTAGTTTAAAAATTAAAGTTTTAAGATATTACTTATTTTTTCTTTTCAGGCCAACATATGCTACTCCAAAAGTTCTAGAAAAGGCAGGATTAACCATGAATGATATTGATGCTTTTGAATTTCATGAAGCTTTCTCGGTAAGTCATTTGAAAGACACATATGAAGGGACTATAGTCATAAAAAATGTCGTCCATATTTGTGGGAGAGAGCAAGGCATGGTTTATGATGTGAGTAGAGCAGGAGTGGACCTATATATTTTAAGTACTGACTCACACTGCTGGGAGGTGCCTGAGGGGAGGGAAGGAAGGGCCATACAGTGTTGGAGAACATACCAAATTGTTTCTTTAGGAAATTCTCATTGAAAACTGATACAAAGATTTGTTCAACTTTACTTTTTTTTTTTGAGACAGAGTCTTGCTCTCTTGCCCCCTCTGGAGTGCAGTGGCGTGATCTCAGCTCACTGCAACCTCCGCCTTCTGGGTTCAAGCAATTTTCTTGTCTCAGCCTCTCGAGTAGCTGGGATTGCATGTGCCTGCTACCACACCTGACTCATTTTTTAAATATTTTTAATAGAGATGGGGTTTCACCATATTGGTCAGGCTGGTATTGAACTCCTGACCTCAGATGATCCACCCGCCTCAGCCTCTCAAAGTGCTGGGATTACAGATGTGAGCCACTGCGCCCGTCCAATTTGCTCAACTTTAAAGCATACCTACAAGTTGTTAAACTTTCACAAACCGTGCCCATAAGAAAGCGTAGAGGAACATGAATAACAAGGTTCTTATTCAATTATTTTCTCTTCCAGGGTCAGATTTTGGCAAATTTTAAAGCCATGGATTCTGATTGGTTTGCAGAAAACTACATGGGTAGAAAAACCAAGGTGAGTTTCTGATTTTAAAAAATGCTTGAATTTTCAAACGCGTTAATAGTTGGATCTTAGTTACCTGTTCTTAAGAATATGAAGGAAAAGCTTCTCTTTCTTTTGAAGAATTTTGTCTTTCATGAAAGATATTTATTTCTTAGTGTAAAGATAGAAATTCTTGTTTCATTAAATATATTTATTTCTTAGTTTAAAAATAGAAATTAGCAAAATTAAAATTCTGTGGTATCTTTTGTTCCTTGCATTCTGGCATTAGATGAAAAATAAATGGACTCCTGACTTTTAATATTGACCTAGACTTACTTTCTTTTGCAGTAAAATTATTTGTAATATGTCTGACGTTCGGTATTTTCCTTTATCCCTCTTACTTCATAGTACTAAGAGCCTGGCTTGATTCTGATCTTAAGTAAACTTATCTTTACATTTGTGTCTTTGTGGGAGCCAGGTTGGATTGCCTCCTTTGGAGAAGTTTAATAACTGGGGTGGATCTCTGTCCCTGGGACACCCATTTGGAGCCACTGGCTGCAGGTTGGTCATGGCAGCTGCCAACAGATTACGGAAAGAAGGAGGCCAGTATGGCTTAGTGGCTGCCTGCGCAGCTGGAGGGCAGGTACGTTACAGTGGTGTCATAGGACCTTCCAGAGAGTCATTTTCTTGGAATGACTAGAATGTATGATTTAGTTTGAAACCTTCTTAAAGCAATATTTTTGATGACACGGGGGTGGGGAGTGGGGAGGGATAACAGCTTTAATTCTGATAATACTTTTTGTTTTTTGGGTTTTTTTTTTTTTTTGAGACAGAGTCTTGCTCTGTTGCCCAGGTTAGAATGCAGTGGTCATATCTTAGCTCACTGCAACCTCCACTTCCTGGATTCAGGTGATTCTCGTTCCTCAGCCTCCCGAGTAGTTTAGATTACAGGCGTGCACCACCGTGTGCAGTTAATTTTTGTATTTTTAGTAGAGACAAGGTTTCGCCATGTTAGCCAGGCTGGTCTCGAATTCCAGACTTCAAGTGATCCACCCACCTTGACCTCCCAAAGTGCTGTGATTATAGGCATGAGCCACCATGCCCTGCCATAATTCTGGTAATTCTTTGGAAGGAAACTGCTATTTAAACCCAAGCTATTTTTCCCGAATATAATGTTTATTTTTTACTTATAAATATATGCTGATTATGAAAATTGTGGAATATATGAAAAGTATATGGAAAAAGTTAGAGTCATCTATAATCTCCCCATCAGACATTATCATTATTAACATCTTGATATATTTTCTTCTTTAATAATAAACTTTTATTTATCTAGTCACCGTTAAGACTTTATGAAATCTCTCCAAGAGAGAAACTGTCTTTCTAGAGAACTGAATTATACCTTAACTGGGGAGTTAATTTACTTCTGGATAACTTACTGCTGTTCAGCTGGGGAAGTATATTGTTGACAGATTTTTTTCCTTTCTACTTCGCTTGCATTACAGACCCAACTTCCTGACTGCTGTAGCATCTCACTCTAGGAATAAAATCCAAAAGGAAGATCGTAGTTTGTTTTTTGTTTGTTTGTTTTTTGAGACAGAGTCTTGCTCTGTCCCCCAGGCTGGAGTGCAGTGGCCCCATCTCGGCTCACTGCAACCTCTGCCTCCCAGGTTCAAGCAATTCTCCTGTCTCAGCCTCCTGAGTATCTGGGATTACAGGTGCTCACCACCAAGCCCAGGTAATTTTTTTGTATTTTTAGTAGAGATGGGGTTTCACCGTATTGGCCAGGCTGGTCTCGAACTCCTGATCTCAGGTGATCCGCCTGCCTCAGCCTCCCAAAGTGCTGGGATTACAGGCATGAGCCACTGCGCCTGCCCTGTTTTTTTGTTTTTTGTTTTTTTTTAATTACAATGTGAACAGATTTTCTCTTCCTCTAGATTACAGAAACTTCCTGTTCCTGATCAAAATGAATAAATATTTAAAAGCATAAACAGGCCGGGCACAGTGGCTCACACCTGTAATCCCAACACTTTGGGAGGTTGAGGCGGGTGGATCACTTGAGGTCAGGAGTTCAAGAACAGCCTGGCCAACGTGGTGAAACCTTGCCTCTACTAAAATTACAAAAATTAGCCTAGCATGGTGGTATGCACCTATAATTCCAGCTACTCGGGAGGCTGAGGCAGGGGAATCACTTGACCCCCGGAGGCGTAGGTTGCAATGAGCCGAGATGGCGCCACTGCACTCCAGCCTGGGTGATAGAGAGGGACTCTGTCTCAAAAACAAATAAAATAAATCTTACATTTAAAAGCCCATTTTCATGAATTTTCATCAGAGACTTTGCAGAAACCAAGGGGTCAGTTATTTATCAGTTGGAACATTTTGGACTTTATGATCAGAAATGTTTTTTAATCTGTGTAACTTCATCTACAGAAAACCATGGTCCATTAAGACTTCAGCTATCCCTCTATCTCTCCATGCCAGACTTCTACCAGGGAGATAACTTGTACACATTACTCACGAGCTTAGTGCGTAATCCACATAGGGTAATGTCTGCAGATTTGAGTATGTGTTCCATAATTCTTTTTTTTTTTTTTTTTTGGATGGGGTCTTGCTTTTTTTCCCCGGGTGGAGTTTTGTTGCACAATCACAGCTCACCGCAGCCTTGACCTCTCGGGTTCAAGTGATCCTCGCACCTCAGCCTTCCCAGTAGCTGGGACTACAGGCGCCGCCACCACGCCCGGCTAGTTTTTTGTATTTTTTAGTAGAGACGGGGTTTCACCGTGTTAGCCAGGATGGTCTCGATCTCCTGACCTCGTGATCCGCCCGTCTCGGCCTCCCAAAGTGCTGGGATTACAGGCTTGAGCCACCGCGCCCGGCCCCATAATTCTTTATCTAGCATGTAGAGTATAAATGAGACAATACTGGATGCTTTTATGGATGAACAAAGAATGATACCTAGCACCTTCTAGAAGTTTATAGTATAGTGAAGAGAGAAGATAAGATGCATCTGAGAAACTAGATTAAACTTGACATTGTTTGATCAAGAGCCATGTGAGTAATACCAACATGATTGGAGACAGGAGAAATCTATCATGGTGAATCTAGAGCAGGGTTTCTCACCTTTGGCACTAACAGTTTGGGCTAAACAATTCTTTGTTGTGGGGGGCTGTGCTGTGTGTTGTAGGGTGTTTAGCATGGCCTCTACCCACCAGATAGCAGTAACAACAAGCTCCTCCCCACCTCTGCCCCATGTACACACAATTGGCATGACCAAAAGTATCTCCAGGTGTTGCCAAATCTGATCTAGAGCAAGAAAAAACATGGAACATGAAAACTGTGTGTTTAAAATCAAGCTAGAGAGGGCTGGGCACGGTGGCTCATGCCTGTAGTCCCAGCATTTTGGGAGGCTAAGGCAGGTGGGTAGCTTGAACCCAGGAATTCGAGACCAGCCTGGGCAACATGGCAAAACATCTCTACCAAAAATACAAAAATTAGCCAGGTATGATGGCATGCACCTGTGGTCCCAACTACTCAGGAGGCTGAGGTGAGCTGATTGCTTGAGACCAGGATGTTGAGGCTGCAGTGAGCTGTATTCACACCACTGCACTTTAGCCTGGGTGACAGAGTGAGACCTTGTCTCAAAAAGCAAATAAAGAAATTAAAGTAAATAAATAATAAAATAAGCAAGTGAGAGAGGAGTATTCTACCTTATTACGAATTCTTTCAGGATAACCCCCAAGTCAGTCAAACCTTCCTATCCCTGCTTTTTTGTCTACTTGTGCCTTTTCAGCATACTTTACATGCCAGACATGGTAGCTCATGCCTGTAATCCCAGCACTTTGGGTGGCTGAGGTGGGCAGATTGCTTGAGCTCAAGAGTTCAAGACCATCCTGGACCACATGGCAAAACCCCATGTCTACTAAAAATACAAAAACTAGCTGGGCGTGTTGGTGCATGCCTGTAGTCCCAGCTACTTGGGAGGCTGAGGTGGAAGTGTCACCTGAGCCTAGGAGGTTGAGGCTGCAGTGAGCCGTGTTCAGGCCACTGCACTCCAGCCTGGGTGACAGAGGGAGACCCTTTTTCAAAAAAAGAAAACCAAACAAACAAGCAAAAAAAAAAAAAAAAAAGTACCTAATAGTTTGTTTTGAACTCCAGTGTATACTTGATTGAGGACAAAGACCACATAGCAAATCTTTAAACCTGCACAGTGCTCAACTTGGCACTTTGTAAATAATAGTTTCTTTTATTTACTTTTTTGTTTTTTAGAGACAGGGTGTCTAAAAACTATATGCTAGGATTTAGACTCATCTAAACTAAGGACATAGCTAGTACATAGTACTGTGTATAGTGCTGGATAAAATATATTCTACTTCTGGCCGGGCGCGGTGGCTCACGCCTGTAATCGCAGCACTTTGGGAGGCCGAGGCTGGTGGATCATGAGGTCAGGAGATTGAGACCATTCTGGTTAACATGGTGAAACCCTATCTCTACTAAAAATACAAAAAAAATTAGCCAGGCGTGGTGGCGGGTGCCTGTAGTCCCAGCTACTCAGGAGGCTGAGGCAGGAGAATGGTGTGAACCCACGAGGTGGAGCTTGCAGTGACCTGAGATCGCACCACTGTACTCCAGCCTGGGTGACAGAGTGAGGCACAAAGAAGGGACAAGCCCAGCCTTTGGAATCATCTAGACCTGGTTTCAAATCCTGGCCCTGTTACCTTAATAGCTTTGTGATTTGGGTGAGTCACTTAACCTTTCAGAGCCTCAGTTTTCCCCTCTAGAAACTTACTTTTATTGGTATTTGCTGTATCTTGTTTGTTTTACACAGCTAAAAAAGCCCCTGGATTTCTCATTTTAACAGCATCCATTGGTAGAGCATCACTAGGAATTAGATTCTGTAGTAGACAGAGCCTGATGCATATATGTATACATGTATATATGAATGTATATAAATATATGTGTGTGTGTATATATACACACATACACAACTATACTGTATGTTATGTAATGTCCACAAAAACTCTATGAGATAGACACTATGAGCCTCATTTTGTAAAAGAAATTCCAGTTTAGACTGACTACAAAGTTTCCCAGGATCACACAGTGATTGAATGGCAGAGCCAGGATCCAACTCCAAAGCCTGTACTTTTCTCATTGTTCTCTGCTGTCTCTCTACTAACTGGATTCATCACCATTCATTGCTCTAATTGGACTTTGTTTTCTTTACAGGGCCATGCTATGATAGTGGAAGCTTATCCAAAATAATAGATGCAGAAGAAGTGACCTGAAGTTTCTGTGCAACACTCACACTAGGCAATGCCATTTCAATGCATTACTAAATGACATTTATAGTTCCTAGCTCCTCTTAGGAAAACAATTCTTGTGGCCTTCTGTTAAATTGCACTTAAGCTTTGCCAGTGTTCTGAGCTTTTCAATAATCAGTTTACTGCTCTTTCAGGGATTTCTAAGCCACCAGAATCTCACACACAGATGTGTGGGGGGTTGTTTTTGGTCTCTATTGTCACTAAAGACTAAATGAGTATTTGCAGTTGGGAAAGAGGTCAGCTGAGATTTGGAAGTCATCTTTGTAATATTTGCAAATTATACTTGTTCTTATCTGTGTCCTAAAGATAAGTGTTCTCTATAAAATACAAACCAATGTGCCTAATTGTGGAAAAATAATTCAGAATCTAAACACCACTGAAAACTTATAAAAAATGTTTAGATACATAAATATGGTGGTCAACTTAATAAAGTGGAGAAATACTGGAGAACTGTTTACCTCATTTTTTATTGGTCAGGGGAGGGTGGTTCTCTTGGCTTAGGACCAGATTTTGCCTTTAATTACTCATTTATAACTTCTAACTATTTTGGTCAATGGTGAGACTGCTGGGAACATAAAGACAATCCTGTTTATTTATCTTATTTTATTTATTTTTTGAGACAGAGTCTCCCTCTGTCCCCCAGGCTGGAGTGCAGTGGTGCGATCTCGGCTCACTGCAAGCTCCGCCTCGCCAGTTCAAGCAATTCTTCTGCTTCAGCCTCCCAAGTAGCTGGGACTACAGGCACCTGCCACCACACTTGGCTAATTTTTGTATTTTTAGTAGAGATGGTGTTTCGCCATGTTGGCTGGTCTTGAACTCCTGACTTCAGGTGATCTATCTGCCTCGGCCTCCCAAAGTGCTGGGATTACAGGTGTAAGTCACTGCTTCCAGCCTGACAGTCCAGGCTGTTTTAGAATAGCACCTTTTGTTTTCCCCACTGCTGAACTGCAGAACATTTATTTCACTTTTTGGATTTGCTTCTGTTAGCCAGGATTTAAGTAAAGTGTAAAGAAGTTTTTTATTTTAATCGACTACTCTAAATCCTCTCAGATTTTTGACAGCTACCCTGTACTAAATAACATGGATGCTAGTGTTTAAAGAAACTGGCTTCTTTTTATGGACGTTTGTGTGACTGTTGCTTAGGTCTATGCAAGTTACTGGGAATCACAGTCACCCTGTAGTTCAGGGACAGATTGGGCAGGAGACCTAGTCCTAACCTCTTAAAAGGATATTTGAGAGTCTCAGCATCATTTCCCCATGGTTTCCTTGGTAATTATAATGTGAGTTTTTAATACTGAAAACCATTATATTTACATATATATCACAAAAATCAGGTATAAATAAATCAAATATAAAAACCTTCAAATTTAGAAAAAAAAAAAAACCCTGTGACCTTAGGTTGAAGGGAGAGAGGGATTTCTTGAAGAAGACATTGAAAATACTAATCATGAAGGATCTATAAATTTCCCTGTGTTGAAATAAGAACTTTTGTTCTTCATGTGATGATACAGAGTGGTGGATAAACAAGCTAAAAGTGGAACAAATATGGTAGATACAGCTTTAAAAGAATCCAGGATATATAAATAATTCCTACAAATCAATAAGAGTAAAGACCACTTGGCCGGGCGCGGTGGCTCACGCCTGTAATCCCAGCACTTTGGGAGGCCGAGGCGGGCAGATCATGAGGTCAGGAGTTCGAGACTAGTCTGACCAACATGGTGAAACCCCGTCTCTACTAAAAATACAAAAAATAGCCGGGCATGGTGGCGTGTGCCTGTAATCCCAGCTACTCAGGAGGCTGAGGCAGGAGAATCGCTTGAACCCGGGAGTTGGAGGTTAACAGTGAGCTGAGATTGCACCACTGCACCCCAGCTCTTGGCGAAGAGCGAGACTCCGTCTCAAAAAAAAAAAAAAAAAAAGGCAAAAGATCTTAACACACAATTTTTAGAAAAGGATATGCAAATGGTAAATAACAAGATGCTCAGTAGTAATCAGGAAAAACAAATTAAGATCATAATGAGATACACCTACCAGACTGGCAAAAATTAACAAGACTGAGAATACCACTGTTGGTCTTGGATGTGGACCAATTAGAACTTTATATGCTGCTGGTGAGAATGCAAATTGGCAAAACCACTTTGAAAAACAGTCTGGCAATTGGACTGGGCGCAGTGGCTCACACTTGTAATCCCAGCACTCTGGGAGCCCAGGGCAGGCGGATCGGAGATCGAGACCATCCTGGCGAACACTGTGAAACCCTGTCTCTACTAAAGACACACACACACACAAAATTAGCTGGGCGTGGTGGCGGGCGCCTGTAGTCCCAGCTACTTGGAAGTCTGAGGCAGGAGAATGGAACCCAGGAGGCGGAGCTTGCAGTGAGCCGAGATCACGCCACTGCACTCCAGCCTGGGCAACAAAGTGAGACTCTGTCTCAAAAAAAAAAATAAATAAAATCTGGCATTTTCTTGTACATCTGAATACAAGACACAAGGTCTGTGACCCAGCATTTCCACTCTTAGGAGTACTCCCTAAGAGAATGTGCACATTAGTCCAGGAAACATGTACAAGCCTGCTCACAGCTGCATTGCTCTTAATAGCAAAATATTGTAAATAACTCATGATCATTGACAGGAAAGTTTCAAAAACAAGCAAAACTAAGTAGGATGCCTACAGACGAGGTAAAAATAGTTTCTAAAACAGCTAAGGGAAGGGAAAAGAGACACATCTTCCTTACTGAAGAATTCCAAATAATACCCGTAGATACTCCGGACTCCAGGAGGTGGAGCATACCCATCCCCTTTGAGTGTGGGCTGGACTTAGTGACTCAACTCCAGTACATACTGTATGGAAAGGGAAAAAGGCAGCCTTACAGTGGAGAAACGGCAAACCGCAGCTTAACCAGGCGATCACGGTTAACATCATCAGTGCTGCCATGTGGATGCACATGCCTCCTAAGATGTAATCAAGGTACACTTCACCTCTGTGGTATTCTTTCCAAATATCCATAATCCAGTCGAATCATGAGAAAACAGGCAAACCCAAACTGAGGGGACAGTCTATGAAATGCTTGACCAATACTCGAAACTATCAAGGTCATAAAAAGGAAATGCTGAGAATTTGTCGTAGATCAATGGAGGCTAAGGAGACATGACAACTAAATGTGATGTAATATCCTGGACTGGATTCTGAAACAGAAAAAGGACGTTCATGGAAAAACTGGTGAAATCTGAATAAAGTCTGGAGTTAATTGTTTGTTTGTTTTAAGCCTAGAAATAAATCCTCACATATATAGTCAAATGCTTTTTTTGTTTTGTTTTGGGGTGGGGTGGGGGTTGGGACACAGTCTTGCTCTGTTACCCAAGGCTGGAGTGCAGTGGAGCGATCTCGGCTCACTGCAACCTCTGCCTCCCAGGTTCTAGCAATCTACTGCCTTAGCCTCCCGAGTAGCTGGGACTACAGGCATGCATCACCACGCCTGGCTAAATTTTTTTGTATTTTTAGTAGAGACAGGGTTTCACCATGTGGCCAGGCCAACATGGTCTTGAACTCCTGGCCTCAAGTGATCCACCCGCCTCTGTCTCCCAAAGTGCTGGGATTACAGGTGTGAGCCACTGCACTCGGCCATCAGATGCTTTTTGACAACAGTGCCAAAAACAGTGCCAAGACCATTCATTGGGGAAAGGACAGTCTTTTCAGCAAATGGTGTTGGGGAAACTGGACATCCACATGCAAAATAATGAAGTTGGACCCTTACCTTACACCCTATACAAAAATGAACTCAAACGGATCAAAGACCTAAAGAAAGAGAAAAGCTAAAACTTACAGTTTTATAAACACTTAAAAGAAAACATGGGGGAAAATACATGACATTAGATTTGGCAATGATTTCTTGGATATGGCACCAAGGGCATAGGCAACAAAGGAAAAATAGATTAAACTGAATTTCATCAAAATTAAAAACTGCATCAAAGGGCACAATTAACGAGTAAAAAGGTAGCCAATGGAATGGCAGAAAATATTTGCAAATCATATATCTCACAATGGGTTAATATTCAGTGGTGTGGCCTTTTTTTGGGGTTGTTTTTTTTTTTGGATGGAGTCTCTCTGTTGCCCAGGCTGGAGTAGAGTGGTGCGATCTTGGCTCACTGCGACCTCCGTCTCCCTGGTTCAAGCAATTCTCTTGCCTCAGCCTCCCGAGTGGCTGGGACTACAGGAACGTGCCACCACATCTGGTGAATTTTTGTATTTTTAGTGGAGACAGGGTTTCACCATGTTGGCCAGGCTGGTCTTGAATTCCCGATCTCATGTGATCTGCCCACCTGGGCCTCCCAAAGTGCTGGGATTACAGGCATGAGCCACAGTGCCCGGTGTAATTCTGTGTGTTTTTACCAGCAGAGCATACATTGAGTACGTGCAAACAATTGTGAAGGAAAATTAGAGCACATATATCTACAGAAGCGCACTCAGAAAGGGGACCCTGTTGCTTCTAAAGTGAAAGAGTATTATTTGGATTTGTAACCAAAAGATACTTTTGTAATTTTTAAAATGAAAACTGTAACTATCAATGAAGTGAAAGTGAAATGGAGTTGACAGGTGTCTATGCTACAAGGCAGAGCCTGCCCTATCTTAGTCACCACCTGCCTCCTACAGGGCTGGAGTGAGTGTGAGGCTTAGAAACAGCATGACGGCCCTGCTGTATTGGTGGTTCCTCTTTTATTTTATTTTATTTATTTATTTTTTATTATTATTGTACTTTAAGTTCTAGGGTACATGTGCATAACGTGCAGGTTTGTTACATATGTATCCTTGTGCCATGTTGCTATGCTGCACCCATCAACTCGTCAGCACCCATCAACTCGTCATTTACATCAGGTATAACTCCCAATGCAATCCCTCTTCTTGTTTCTCGTCTCTTCTTTCGCTCTCCTTTCGTCTTTTTATTTTGTTGTTTCTTCTCGTGTGATTTTTTGTCCTTTTTCTTTCTATTGTCTTGTGTATTTTCTTCTTTATTTGTTTATGTTGTCTTCTCTATATTTGATTGTTTGTGATTATATATTGCTTTTGGTGTTGTTGTTTGTGTATTTGTGTGATTATAGTAAATTGTATGTGTTTCCTATTTGCGCATTTCTTATTGTTCTCTTTATCATATTGTATATCTTTTATATATCTCATCTCTTTATGTGCTTGCTTTATTTGTTTTCTTCTTTTGTGTTTTGTTATATTTGTGCTGCTTATCATTTAATTCTGTCATTTCTGTATTTTGATATTTTTGGTTTTGTATCTATGTTTGTTTTTATTTGATATAGTCCTGCAATTTTTTTGTTTTATTATTTTTAGTTATTACTTTGTATGTTTTGTCTTTATAGCAGCACGATGTTAATTTGTACATTTAGTGTTCCCTGTGTCGGTGACTCTGATGTCTTATCTGCGTCTCGCTCATAATATATGTGTTAGTTTTATGTAGCCCTGTTGCTTCTGTTAGCGTGTTTCTAATTTCTAGTGTGTAGGTCAGTTTCCATATATGGTATAGGTGTCGAGAAGTGACTCCTTGTCTGTGTGCACTTATATGTATTCGTCTGTATGATATAGATTAGTGTCTCTTTTAGTTCATTACTGTTGTGTCAATATGGTCTCTTGCTGCATCTTATATTGTGTGATTTTTTGATTATTTTATGTTATTGTTATTCAATTGCTCTAGTGATTCTCTATATTGGTTTGTATTTCCTAATAAGTGCATATGATAGTAGCTTCCAAGCTGATAACTTTAAGGATATGTTGTTTAATTTGGTGTATATATTATGTTGTGCGGGCGACATAAATAGAAAGGATATAAACACAATGACTGAGATATTGTGTGTAAAGGAAAGTTGTTGCATTGACATTCTTCGTGTGTGTGTTTTTATTTTCGTTATGGTTTTTTTTAAATAAATGAGGCGGCTTTTCATGTTTGTTCCGTTTATTTCTTTTGCTTCTTGGTTTCTATTCTCACCTACCCCAGTTGTCGGCGTTGGTTTCTTCTTTCTCCCCTAATCATTGTTTTCTCTGAGGAACCATACTGTTCCCATAATGTAATTATTTACAATCCACACAACCAGTGTAAAAAGTCCCTTATTCCCACACCTTCCATACCTGTTGTTTCCTGACCTTTAATGACGATGTCTAACAGGTGAAGAATGTACCGCATTGGTTTGATTTGCATTCTCTGAAATGGCATGATGATAGCATTTTTATGGATCTGTGTTGTGAGTCTTCTTTTTTGAGAAATCGCGTGGTTCATATCTTCCCTTTTTGATGGGGTTGTTGTTTCTTGTAAATGTTGATTCTTTGTAGGCGTTCTGGCATAGTAGCCCCTTCAGAAGGTGAATGCAAAAATTTTTCCGATCTGTAGTGCCTGTCACTTGATGGTAGTTTCTCTTTGCGTCAGAAGCTCTTTAGTTTAGATGAGATCCCATTTGTCAATTTGCTTTGCGCGTGCTTTTGGTGTTTGTAGACATGAAGTTTTCCCATCTAGTCAGCCTGGGAATGGTACGTAACCTACCGTTTTCCTCTTTAGGGTTTTGTCATGGTATTAGGTCTAACATTACATCTCTAATGCCATCTGAATTAATTTTCGCTATAAGGAGTAAAGGAGAAGGACCAAGTTTCAGCGCTTTCTACCTTATGGCTAGCCAATTTCCAGCACAGCATTAAAATAGAGGGGAATCCTTCTCCATTCTGTTCTCTCTCAGGTTGTTCAAAGATCAGCGATGGCTGTAATGTGTATATTTCTGCAAGGACTCCTGTTCTATTCCATTGGTCGTATATCTCTGTGTTGGTACGCAGTACCATGCTGTTTTGGTTACTGCTAGCCTTTAGTATAGTTGGAAGGTCAGGTAGCGTGGATCTCCAGCGCTTGTGTTCCTTTTGACTTATGGGATTTCTTGAGATGCGCGCTTTTTGGTTCCATATGAACTTTAAACAGGTTGTCAAATCTGTAGAAACTCAATGGTAGCTTGATGGGGATGGCACTTGAATCTGTATAAGAACCTTGGCGAAGTATGGCCATTTTCACGATATTGATTCTTCCTATCCATGAGCATGGTATGTTCTTTCATTTGTTTGTGTCCTCTTTTATTTCACTGAGGAGTGGTTTGTGGTTCTCCTTGAAGAGGTCCTTTACATCCCTTGTAAGTTGGATTCCTAGGTATTTTATTCTCTTTGAAGCAATTGTGAATGGAAGTTCATTCATGATTTGGCTCTCTGTTTGTCTGTTACTGGTGTATAAGAATGCTTGTGATTTTTGCACATTAATTTTGTATCCTGTGGTGGCTCCTCTTTGAAAGGATAATGAATCCACTTATAGAAACATTTGGGCCAATTTATACACAATTGAAATATTCACACTAATCATTAAGTGAGAGCATGGTGTTTGTAAGAAAAGTGTTTTCAACAGCACGTGATAGCATATCCATTTCTGTTTTAACAGAAAATGCCCCCATCCCATTTTATAAAAAATATCCATGAATTGCATAATTAACAAAGACTGATTCATCACTTTTTTCGTGTATCTAGTTTAAAAATTTCTCAGAATCCTGCATCTTCCTCTGGTGAATTCCCTAAGTTAATTCAGCCAGATAGGTATCTTGGTCTCTTCAAAAAGATTTTGTTAAATCTATCTTCTCTATATCTAGTATTAATTTTTAAATATAAATTAAATGTTATTAATTGATATAAATTTATATTAAACTTTAAATTTGTATAACCTATTCTTACAATGTGCTCATATCAATCAATACCTCTTTCTATACATGGATACGGTTGTGAAACTTACATTTTATATTTATTTTTTTTAAAGGTTAGAGAAAGAGGGACCAATTAACTTCATCTTTTCCTAAACTTGAGAAGAGACAAACCAAGTCCTGCCCTTCATCTCCAATGTTTGGAAGATCAGAGGTTCCTGTCAATTAAGTCGTCCTTTCTTCATAACTATTGCAAAAGAAATCATCAGAAATCGCTGAATAGGTCAATTAAAACCATTTTTATCAAACATATTCATTCACAACATGTATTGTTATAGTTAAAAACTGGTTGAGAAAGTTTACTTGTAATTATTATGCACTTTGATATCTGTTGATTATTTCTGGAGCAAAGGCAGCCTTATTCATTAGGTGCCTTTAGCTAATTTTTCCTGCTATTCTTGCTGGATACTTTAGAAATGAGAAGGGGTGAGCTGTAAGATAAATGAGTGTGACTAAGGGAAATAGAAGCCTGACTTTATCAAGGGCTGAGCTCCGGGAGGCAGGAAGAGTTCAGAGCATTGGGCCAGGGCTCATCTGGTGGGTTCAAGCACATAGCCTCAACTCCCTTGCAGGAACATGGGTCCGTGTGTGGTTCACTCTGAAGCATCTGTCTTCCTGTGAAAGAGCTCGGGAGTGGTGAATGGATACCGCGCCCAACTTCTGCAGGCTGCCCTCCCCTCTGGATACCAAGCCCACCCATGGCAATCCCTTCAAGGCATGACTCTCATGATAATAAGAAGTGTGATAATGTGAAAAGGAATTTTCAGAGAAACTGAGTCAAGGACTGGTGGTGGTGAAACTTCTTGCTTTCTTGGAAAGCAAGAGAAGGTGCTATGCCTTCTGCTCTCTGACATTTCCACCGTCCCCCACCCATCTAGCAATGGCTACCCTAGAAAAACCTGTTTCCTACCCTTTGGTGTGGGCTGAGTATAGAAAGAGGAGGCTTCTCTCCAGAACTTTGCCAGGAGTTTGGCAAAGTTGGTTTGGCCTTTGCCACACCATCCTCAATCCACCCTGCTTACACTGCCCCTGAGAAAGTCTAGTTCTCACCTGGCAGTGTCACTTCCTCCTTTGCTGTGTTCCAAGATGTAGCCTTCATTTGTGGACTAGGAAGGGGTGAAAAGGCCCAATTGCAGGGCGATTATTATTATTGTCAATTCTCCCTTGAAGAAGTTGTATCCGTTTTACTTTCTCACATGCACTCCTGCCTGGGCTGCAGGAATCCTAGAAATTTTGCTCTCCGCTATAATAACTCCCATGAGTTCTGATCCCACACTTTTCCTTCAAATGCTAACTGGAGGCAGATTTTTAGATGGAGAAACCAGAGACAAGAGAATCAGCAGGAGTCCAGGTGATAATAAGGAACCCGGGACCCTGATCCTGACTGCTCTGACCAGGCTGCTCATTTCACCGGTGGGGAGCTGGAACCTGAAACCTGCTCATTCTAAAAAACAACCGCAGTCTTCTCTCAACTTCTGGCTGTGCCCATGTCCTCTGAGGAAGGCCGTGGAATGCCTTCTGACATGCTCTCAGAGGGAGAGCTGAGGATCTGAAGCCAGCAACTCACCAGGGAGATGGTGGAGCTGGGGGCTTGGGCACGGCAGAAGCGTTTGCGCAAAGCTTCTTGTACCTGTGGGAGAGGTAAATGCTCCACTTATGCCAGCCACAGCCCCGGCCTGTGGGCTGCAAGTGAGGCAGGGGGTTAGGTGGGCAGACTCACCTTCTTGTCCATGAGGCAACCAAACAATAGGATGAAGACACCCTGAGAAGAGGGACATGGGGATAAGCTGGTCAAGGAGGAAGGGATCTACCCGAATCAACGTGCTCCTTCTGTCCTGTGTAATTCACATGCAAAGGCTTCTCGTCTCAATTTTTGTTACCACCATTTGGTGCATAGGACCTATTTCAGATGCTTTTCTTATTGTTATCGTTATAAAAGGGATAGTAAAGGATTGGGTACTGATAATTTCCTGAGTTCTCCAACAAAATCAGCTATTATTTTACAGATAAGAAAACCAAAGCTCAGAGAGGTTATATAATTTGTCTGAAGTTATCCAGCTACTCAGTGGAGGAACTGGGATCCACTCCTAAGCCTTCCAAAATTCCTGAACCTATGTTTCTTCTGCTACACCTTGATACCTCCTAGAGAAGAGATCGGCAGTGACTTAGACCATCTAAAAGGGCAAAAAGCACAGCCACCCCCTATCACCTACCTGGAGGGTGTTGAGAATGGTGAAGATGTAATGAGGGACCACGGAGACTTCCTCTAACAGAGTGGCCAGGCCCAGCCCCCAGGTGAGGCCAAAGATGGGTGTGAGAATGAGCAGGGCTTTGATCACCCCCAGCAGAGCTTGGCGCTTCTCCGCTGGGGGTCCCTCTGACAGCGAAGGTCTCAGCAACTTCAGCATGGCCATGGCTAGTACCAGCCCATTCACACCTACAATAGCCAGCACTGGCCCCACGAAGGTGTATAACGCCCCTCCCTTCCCATCCAACCAGCATTCCCCCTCCCTCAGGTATTGCCCTTGAGGTAGGTAGAGCCCCAGGGTGACACCCGCCAACCCCAGTGGGCACAGGTAGCCCAGAAGCACCATCAGGGGGAGAACTCGGTGCTTCGGCAGCTGGTGAAAGACAAAGAGCAGCTGGTGGGCCAACACCAGGGCCTGCGCCAGCATCCAGAAAAAGGTGGCCAGGTAGAGGAAATGACAGAGGAAGGTGGCAGCCAGGCAAAGCGGGCTTCGGGGCCCTGGAGGGAGGAAGGGGGCGCCTAGGAAGCAAGTGTCTGCGGCCAGCAAGCAGAGCACCATGTTGAGCAGGGCGGCGTGGCGGAAATAGGAGACCTTGTTCCGCACCACGACTCTCCAGACCAGCCTGTACACACCCAGGCACACAAGCAGCGCCAGTATGGAAGCTCCCAAGCCCACTTGAGTCAGCAGCGCCAGAGCGGGTTCTTCCGGAACAGTGTGTGGGGACATGAGGACGGAGAAGGCAGTGAGGTGCTGGCAGAGGCACCGAGCAGTGGGGCTGCCACTGGCCGCCTGTGCCTGGCACCCTTCTTTGGACCAACCCCCCCTGCCCTGGAAGAGGCTGTGATCCCAGAAGACACAGTGAGGGGAACCATCTGTGTTCCCAAAATCCATGATGACCTCGCCCTGGCTGAAGGCCTGGTCGCCTGCCATGATGGAAATGACAAGGACCAGGCCAGGAGTGGCATAGAGGGAATTCCCCAGCCCTTGTCCATAGTTTGAAGGCAGAAGGTGGTCCAGTTTTCGCAACACCAGGCTAGTAATACTTATTTCAGTTCCATTACGGACCAGTGGGGCCAGTGAGTGCCTGGGAATCTGAGCCTGCAGTGGGGGCCGAGTAGGGAAGGAGATGCTGTAGTCAGCAGGAAACGTGGGTCCAAACAGCTGGCTCTGCAGCAGCACATTGGGCAAGCTGAAGGTGAAGGGGTGGTCCTGTGGGCACAGGCTGCATGCCAGGGTCTCCACAGCCAGCAGGAGAGTTGAGCCTGCCCAGGGCTTCCGGGCTTGGGCCAGGGTCCACAGAGACCTGGTGTCCATATCTAGGACCTTGTCTGTGGCAATCAGGAGATTCTGCAGCACCCAACAGAAAGATGAGCCCCGTCTGCTGGTGCCCACAGGACTGAGCCGGGGGCAGTGAGAACTACAGCCCCACACCTTCCCTTCCCAGTCCAGGGTGTGACCCGAGGTTGGAGAGAAAAGGGAGAGGAAGACAGGCCTGTGAAGGGAGACTTTCTAGACGGGAAGAATGGGGAGCTGTTCGGCCAACCACCTTGGGGCATCTTTAAGGATATGTCCCCTGACCTGCACCCAGTCCCTCTGCTGAAAAGCCTTCTTCCCCCTCCATCCCTTGGGGCCACCCAGGTTCTCAGAAGGGACTTCTCCCATTCTTTGGCACCTCCAGGTCTGCAAAGCTAGGAATGGTGACCAGCAGTGATAGAGGGCACCGTGTCCTGGAGGTGACGGCCACGCGCATGTCTGTGCATTCACATATGCTATGTATTCCCAGGCATGAACGGTGTGTAATGTCATTGCCCTTTGTTACACTTTTGGCTGCAGCTCATGGGTCACCAATGGATGCCCATACTGAGAGCCGATTTAGGTGAGCCCGGCAAAGCCAAGCACACTTTAGCGTCTTCATGGAAACTTCCTGTCTGTGTCATAGCCACACGCCTGCTTGCGCACACACGCCTCGGGCCTCCTGTCTCCACACCCTTTCCTGCCTCCAGCCCCCATGTGCTCCCAGCGCCAGGCCTTCTCCATTCTGCAGCCTCAGAGGCTGGTGTCTGAGAGAAGAAATGGACCAGGAGCAGGACCCCGGACTCTGGAAAGGTCTGCTGCCCGACAGCCCATGGTGATGTCAGAGGGACAGAAGTGCCCACAGATGGGGAGTCTTCACCCCCTGACTGCCCAGCTGGCAACCACTGTGGCTCAGAGATCTCACCTTCAGGGCGCTGCGGTCAAGCTGTATTCTGGCCTTTGCCACCGCCTTGGCCAGGTATTTCATGGTGCTCAGCAGGGTCAGTAAGTCGGAGGGTGAACTTGCCTCTGCCGCCTGCCCTGGCAGCTGTGCCAGGATCTGTGGTACCTCCTCAGCAGGACTGCCCTGGCCTGCCTGCAGCAGCTGAGACAGACAAGACAGCAGGAAGCGGGACACGTAGTAGAATGATGGTTTGAGAAGAGCATCCCAGCCCCATGGAGATTGCTGGCCCCCTTGAGCCCTCCCACACCTACTTCCTGGCTCTGCTAGGGCTCCAGTTCAGAGAAGCTGAGCAGCTTGTGGGTTGGGCCTCGGGGAAAAGGGTCTGCAAGCTGGGTCCTAGAGAGGCTGGGGTGGGCTGTGGAGGGGGCATGTGGGCAGCAGGGTGGAAGCTTCACCTTGGCTCTAACGAACAAGGCCAGGAGCCTCGCATCTGTGCAGCTGCTGTGGACAGGCCCCCAGACTCCGTCAGCTGCACAAAACCTCCTCACTATGCCCCTCTTGCTCTCAGGACATGGGGCCTGTGCCATGTGGCCAGCCTTGGTGACATTCCAGGTAAGCACTGAGGTGTCCTCAGGGCAGGTGATGTCCCCATCTGAAGAATGACAAGCAGGGGGTACTCAGCAATCACAGCCTCACCGGAGCCTCTTCTTGGGCAGAAGCATGTGCGGGCCCTGAAGCCTGGTCCTATTGCCCAGGGCAGGGATGCGCCATGCAAGGGAGCCCATGCTCCCAAGGCAAGCAGCTGAGACCCGCCCACTGGACCCCAAGCCCCACGTACCCTGGATGATGGTGATGGAGATGGGGACCCTGAGTGGAGCCAGGCCAGGGCTCTGCAGGTCACAAGTGTACACGGTGTCAGTCATTGGGCAGTGCTGAACAGCCAACACAAAGCACTGAGAGCCTGACTCATTGAAGGAGGAGGCTGAGGGCAAAACGAAAGAAGGGAACTGTCATTGGGCCAGGGACAGGCCTGGAACCCAGCAGGCTCTGACATGCTGTTTCAGTCTTTCTAGCAATTCAGAAACAGAGGAAGCAGTGGGGAAGAGCCAAATGATGTGTGGGCTCCACTTGGGCAGAGGAAGAGAGCTTGGATTTTGCTGGAGGGGACTGTGGGGTCTCTAACAAGCTCTAGGACTCAGTTTCCACCATTTCCACATTTGTAAAATGGGGACTATCATCAAAAGAATTCCATAGAGTTAAATGAGATTGTGTAGATAACAGCATTTTGCAAAAGTTTCCTCTACACATGCAGTTATGTTATGGCAATAGACGTGGCAAGGCTCTGATGGGGTAGAAAACAGTGTGGGCTTTGGACCCCACTCTCTGGTTGAACTGTGGCCTCTGTTTCTCATGAGCTAAAGACTCAGTTGCCTGGAGGAGACTAGCTGCCCCCTGGTCCCTCTGACCCCTGACTGCTGGCCCCTTCTCATACCTTTGCTGCCCTCTCCAGGGCTCCAGGTCGCGGTGTAGGCCAGGTTTGTGCTGGGGATGCAGCAGCTCAGCTGGAAGCCAGGGGAGGTGGCACAGGAGATGGACAGCTGGTCTGGAAGTCGAGCCACATCTGTCGCCTTCAAGGGCACCCTCACCACCTCGTGCAGGTTCCACTTGAAGCCCTGGGCCTCAAAGCAGCTCATGTACTCACCTGCAGACACGTGTCTGCTGCGCTATGTGGCTCCTCTGGGCCCTGCTGCACCACAGAATCGCTGCTACTTTCCAAGCCACAGCCTTGCTCCCGTCCTCTGCCTGCCACCCAGTGCTTAACCCTAGCAAGCAAGGTCCCAGGATGGCCCCTTTGGTGGGTATTCCCTGTCCCCAAGAAGGATTTCTAGGAGGTAGAAGAGATCTCTTTTTTATCAGCCCATGCCCATGAATTTCATGCTCTCCCTAGAGCAGATGCCCTTCCTGCACCACCCCTGCCATTTTAGCATCTTGAAAAACATGGATCTGTTCTCAGCAGACATTGAGACTATATCCTCCACATTCTCCACATTGTAGTATTTTTGTTAACAGAAACATTTTTATGAAAAGTAACTACATTTTCCAAAACATAATTAGACAAGTGATTTTTTTTTTGCATGTTTGCAAATCTCGCCCATGTCTGGGTTCTCCCATCTGCTTTTGCATTCAATCTTATGATGGCCCTGTAACCTCTGGAAAGGGCCACTGTCTACACCTGAGGGAGTAGGAGTGAAAGGGGTAAATGACATCTTAGCATATTAGGACAATAGTTGTGACTTTGTAAACCCTGAAAAGGGTCTCAGAAGTCCCAGACCACAGTGAAAACAGCTGGCCATTTTTAGAATTTTCCACATTGCAATTTTTCACACCAAGGGACCTCTTAGCCTTTGTTTCCCCAGAATGGGTAAGTGGAAAGATGAAAAGGGTGAGAAAGAAGTGGAAAGAAAAGAAGGAAGGAGGAGGGAGGGAGGCGTGGGAAGAAGAGGTGAAGGAAAGCAGCAAAGGAAGAGGAGGAAGAAGGGAAGTAAGAGGAAGGAGAAAGGAGGCAAGGAGAGGACAGACTGGCTACCTGCCCAGTGATGGGACATGTTGGAGACACTGAGGGCAGCCTGGCCGTGGCTGGAAGTCACAGACACCTGTGTCCCTGGCTGCAGGAGGATGGGACTGGGGCTCCCTGGGTGCCTCAGGAACCAGCTCAGGTCGGTGGCCTCCTGGCTCAGCAGGAGAGTCAGGCTCAGTGTGTCACCAGGCATCTGCAGCTGGGAGTTCAGGCTGAGGGTCCCGGGGACTGCAGGGAGGCAGGTGACAGGGGACCCTGGAGGAGGGACTCATGGCCCTCAGATGCAGCTGAGCAATCGCTCCCCCCGACTCTGGAGCCCATTCCTCCACACTCCCTCCCTAGCTTTTTAAATTTTTCTTTTTGTCCCTGGATGGGCATCTGAATGTGGCTGCTGCAATCCAGCCTGGAAGACTCTATCTGTTATCGGAAACCAAAGAGAGAACCTTTTTGGTCTATGCCTCTCCCTCCTCCAGGCATCTTGGGGCTGCTGGAACTGCTTCCTGCCTCCTAGGGTAAAAAGCAGGGTTACTCCAGCACGTTCTCTCCCTGTCCTTATGTCTCTGGGGCCCCCCTCATTAGTCTCCCTACTCAGGTTCCAAGCTCAGGGCCTGTGATCTGCTGTGATGGCTGGCTTTTTCTCCCACCCAGAGGAGCAGCTGTGCTTGGACCAGCTGGCCAAACTACAGGTTCAGAGAGGAAAAACACACTGAGAGCATTCATTTCACTTAAGGTCATTGGTTTCCAAGTTCCCAACCTTCCTCACCAGGTGGCAGCAACTGGCAGTACCCGGGTTCAGGATGGCTGAAGACAAGGCAGCCACAAGGCTGCTGGTTCTGGGGGCTTTGACAAGGAGGGTAATGGAGGCAGATGCTGGTGTTCCACTGGTAGCCAGAGAGGCAAGCACAATAGAAATTCCCCTCGTGGTTGACATTACACTCTGTGACAGAGAGAAGGGAAGAGGGGCTGCGCAGGCTGTCTGAGGAAGCTAGGTGGGCAGGGTGAACACCTGCCTGATGCCTGAGAGGCTTTAGGGCTGGGTATCTGGACCAATCTCCAAGCTACAGGTACCTCAGTCAGGCACATGCATCAGGACTGCCTCCTCAGTCAGCGCTTGAAGCAGCAGATGTCTCAGGGGCCAGGGAACAGGTGAAGGTGGAGGTCTGTGCCCACATTGTCTGTCCCTTGGGCCATCAGTCAAAGTTAGAAGATAGGGGATGGGGCAGGCAGGGAAGGGTCTGTCTGGTAGGGAGGGGAGGAAGGAGCTGGGCCAAGAGACAGAACCAGGCAGCCCTTCCTCTAGGAAATATAGAGGGACTCACAGCATCTCAGGCAAGTTGGTGCAGGAGGCCCGGAAGCCCCTGTTCATTCGCTCTTAGCCCCCTTCCCATGCAAGTGGTACCTGTTGTGAGTCTGAGGCCAGTGAGAAGAGGCCTTGGGGAAGAGGAAGCTGAGGCAGCCGGGAGAGTCAGGGTCCTGGAGACTTCATGGGGCCAGGTCTTATCTGAAAAGTCCAGATGTACATAGACGGAGACCAGCGCTGATTCTACAGGAGCAGAGGGGACAGCTGGAGAGGACAGGCAGCGAGGCCACAAGCCGGTCCCCTCTGGAGTCTCTCATCTAGCTGGCCAGTCCCAGGAATGCAGAGCCGACCCCCTCCCACAGGCTGTCCAGGTGCATATAGACAGGGCTCAGGAAGGGAACAAGTCCTCCCCTAGGCACGGTGGCTTCAGATACATAGCTTCACGTCATCCATCCAGCAACACCTATTTTATGGATGAGGCTCCAAAGACAATGAGTTCATCTCCAGGCCTCGCTGCTAGAGAACTGGTCAACGACCTGTCCGACTGTGATCAGAGCCAGTCCTCTCTCTCCGCCACCACTCCCTCGCTGCGCCTGCCCTCTCCTCTCCGGGTCCTGGGTTTCCACCTCATTCCCAGCCCCTATCTCCTCCCCCTCCCTCCTCCTCCTGTCCATTCACTCACCTCCTGCTCCATTCTGTTGGTCCAGGAGCTGCCCAGATCCAGATTCCCCTCCAGCCTGACTCTGTCCCTGGAATAGAACACAGAGGAGAGACCTCAAGTCCCTTCCAAAGGCACCCCAGGGGCCAGCCCGACTAGTCTCAGCCAGCACAACTCAGTCTCAACCAGCTCTTCTTTTTGCCAGGAATCAAGGGTACACATCAGGAAGGGAAAGCAGGCTTCTCTTAGTGGGTGCCAGGGATGCAACCCCAGGAACCCTGCTATCCCACCCAAGACCAGGAACCAGGAACGCCCTGGGAAGTCAACATGCTTTGTTTAATTCCTTCCTGCATTTACCTGTCCCTGGGCCTCTAGGCTAATTGAAATGGCTGGGTCTGGAGCTCCAGCAGTGGAGCTGGACAGAGTTGGCTGGGGCCCAGGCGCTTGGGGAGTTTATTCCTTCTGTAGGATTTGACAGCAGGGTGAGAAGAAGGCAGCTTCTTTCCTTTGTCTTTGGTTCCTGTACATTATTTCCTCACCAACTCCTCCTCTGACAGGGTGACGGTGGAGGTCTGGACCCACATTGTCTGTCCCTTGGGCCATCGGCCAAAGCTAGAGGACAGGGGGATGGGGCAGGCAGGGAAGGGTCTGTCTGGTAGGGAGGTGAGGAAGGAGCTGGGCCAAGGAGACAGAACCAGGCAGCCCTTCCTCCAGGAAATATGGAGGGGCTTACAGTGTCACAGACCTGAGCCCTGTCTATATGCACCTGCGTGTGCATGTGGGTATCTATCCAAAACCAGATTTTGATACAGATACGAATATGGATAAGACATGAGTATAAGCTGGTCACAATGGCACGTGCCTTCAGTCCCAGCTACTTGGGAGGCTGAGGTGGGAGGATCACTTGAGCCCAGGAGTTCAAGTCCAGCCTGGGCAACATGGTGAGAGCATGTCTTAAAAAAGGTATAGATATAGATAGATTTAGATACAGATACAGATATATATTTACATAAAGACAGATTTAGATTTAGCAATACAGATAGATTTAGGCTTAGTGGTATATAGATGTAGACATAGGCATAGATATAGCTGTCCGTGAGGAGAACACAGATGGAAAAGCACCCTCTAGACTCTGATGTCTTTCCTCAGATTCTCTCCCATCCTCTAAGCCAGTAGTTCCCAAATCTGCAAAGTTTTTCTTTTTCTTTTTAAATGGCCAGCTTGACTGGACGAGCCTTTATCCAAAGTACAGCAGGTATCATAGGAGTTTACAGGGACTCAAATAAGGAAACAAGAGCTATCCCCCACACCCAGGAAAATAAAATTGAGTTCTCAGAGATCTCATAACAAAGCATCCACTTTCCTTATACATTACTTCCTCTCCCCTCAGCTCTTTCCCCACTACCTATCCTTTCATTCCACGCCTCGTCTCTCCCAACCAGAGGTCCCCATTGTCGCCTCTGCAGACCTTCCCTGGGTCTCACCCCGATTTCACTCACAGGTTGGGATGCTTGGGCAACTGGTGACCCCAGCAGGGGAAGAGTTGTGGCCAGGAGCAGCAGAAGGGCAGCCGAACAGACCATGGCTCAGTGAAGCAGTCCCTACAAGCCCATGATGCAAATTTCTGCAAGGAAGAGCTGGCAGGGCAGTATGCAGATGGGATGGGAGGGAAGAGGGGAGGGAGCCAGGGCTGAACTTACAGAGGAAGCGCTACAGCCTGTGACTCTGAGTCAAATGGGAATCCAGGTCGCCATGGGGGCCACCTGGAGCCCACATGCCCCCAGTGAGAATGGTGCCGAGGCTCCTCTTGGGCTCTGGACCAAAAGCTCAGAGTCTTAGGGTTTTGAAGTCACAACCAGCAACGTGTCAATAAGCCAGGTTCAGTCATGTTCCCAAGGACCTGGGAAATCTGGATTGTTCTGAACTCCTCAAAAGCTGGATCACTGATCAAAGGGTCAAGGTTAGAAATGAAAAATAAAGAAAAGATAAAAATATGAGAGCTGATTTTTACCCTAAAATAATTTCCAGATAGACTAGAGTCCTCCCTCCCTCCCTTCCTTCCTTGTCTGTCCCTTGGGCCATCTGCCAAAGCTAGAAGATAGGGGGATGGGGCAGGCAGGGAAGGACTGGTCACGGACCTGTCTGACTGTGATCAGAGCAGGGGGTGAGTGGATGGACAGGAGGAGGAGGGAGGGGGAGGAGATGGGAGCTGGGAATGAGGTGGAAACCCAGGACCCGGAGAGGAGAGGGCAGGCGCAGCGAGGGAGTGGTGCCAGAGAGGACTGGCTCTGATCACAGTCGGACAGGTCCGTGACCAGTCTGTCTGTCCGTCCCTCCCTCCCTCCCTCCCTCCCTTCCTTCCTCCCTCCCTCCCTTCCTTCCTTCTTTCCTTCCTTCCCTCCCTTCTTTCTTTCTTTTCTCTCTCTCCCTCCCTCCCTCCATCCATCCCTCTCTCTCTTCCTTCTTTCCTTCCCTCCCTCCTTTCTTTCTTCTTTTCTTTCTCTTTCTTTCTCTCTTTCTTTTTCTTTTCTTTCTTTCTTTCCTTGCTCTTTCCTTCCTTCCTTTCTCTCTCTCTTTCCTTCTTTCTCTCTCTTGCTTGCTGTCACTCTCACTCTTTTTCTTTCTTTTATAAACAAGGCCTTCTTCTGTTGCCCAGGCTAGAGTGCAGTAGTATGATCAAAGCTCATGATCATAGCTCACCATAGCCTCAAACTCTTGGGCTCAAGCTATCCTCCCACCGTAACCTCCCAAGTAGTTGAGATTACATGTGTGCACCACTGCACTGGCCTAGAGCCTTAAATGTAAAAAAGAATCTGAGAAAATACTAGAAAACATTATCAAGTTATTCATAAAATAATTTTAAACAGAGGAAGGTTTTTTAAACAATACATAAAACTGAGAAGTCAAAAAGGAAATAAATGTGACTGTCTAAAAACTTTTAAGTTTGGCCTAAAAAGAATAATTTTCTCAACAAAGGAACTTTCTTCTAGTTTTCGTATCCATAAGATAGAAATAGGCAAAAGATAGGAACAGACAATTCACTGAAGAAGAATAGAAATAGTTTGATAATGGCCAGGCAGGGTGGCTCACACCTATAATCCCAGCCCTTTGGGAGGCCGAGGTGAGTGGATCACCTGAGGTCAGGAGTTCGAGACCAGCCTGCCCAACATGGTGAAACCCTGTCTCAACTAAAAATACAAAATCAGCCAGGCTTGGTGGCGCATGCCTGTAATCCCTGCTAATTAGGAGGCTGAAGCAAGAGAATTGCTTGAACCTGTGAGAAGGAGGTTGCAGTGAGCTAAAATTGCACCATTGCACTCCAACCTGGGCAACAAGAGTGAAACTCCATCTCAAAAAAATAAAAATAAAAAAGAAGCAGTTTGATAAACATATACAAACCTCTAACTTCACGCATCAGAAATACAAATCAAACAAGATACTATTTCTCACCTGCTAATTATCAAAAGAGAAAATATTAATTATATTAAGTATAGTTGTACATGTGTGTAAAAACAGGTACATAAGAATATTCAAGGCAGAATTGTTTGTGACAGCAAATGAGTTGATCAACAACCAAAATGTCTATTAAAAAGGGAGAGCTTATATAAATCTTGGGATTTCCAAACAATACATTACTAAAGTTGTGGGGAAAAGTGAAGTAGCTGTATTTTGGAGTGATCTCCAATATAGTTAGTGAAGTTTAAATATGTGTTATGTGTATTATGCTCCCATGTATGTAAACAAAATGAATCTATTTAAGATGCTTGTACTTGTATATCCCTAGAATATTTCTGGAAGAATACATCAGAAATCTGGCAATAGTTGTTGCTTCTGGGGAAAGGGATTAAGGGTCTGGATGGGTCTGTGTGCTGTTTCATATATAGTTTTTCTAATCATAGGCATTTTTTTTTAATAAAAAAAAGTTGATTTAAACACACACACAAAGTACAAAGTACCTATGGTAGAAATATAGCCCCATTGCATTTCCACCTCCACCTCCACCTCCAATCCCCCCTTGCCAGTTTTGTTGCTAATGGAAGAGCAGACACACAGAGCAAATACATGCATGGGAGCAATCACTCTTGTAAATAGCGGATTTCAGAAAACATGAAAATGGTGGAGAATCTGGTTTGAGAACCAGAGAGAGAAGTGAGAGGGAAAACACAGGTGCTGGAGGTAGGATGCTATTAGCATGCTGGGTGCTGTCTGTTGCAGCTATAGGCAGTCTCAGATGGGCCAAGAGGATGTGGGACATCAACAGCATCTGCAGCAGTTCCCAAATGGAGTCTGTCAAGGCATGAAGTGGTCCTGGACCATGCTCCACAGGGTCTGTTGAGGACCAGGAACTACACAAGTGAGAGGTGGACTGAGACCCAGAAGAGTGGCTGCTTCAGTGCCGAGGGGAGACTGAGCCATGGCAGCCCCCAGTTAGGAGAGGTAAGGACGGCCTCCAGTGGAGGGAAAGCTGTTCATCCATCAGCATGAACACTGAAGGAACAAGTAACTCCGGGGACATGAGAAAGCTAACAGAGGCTGGGTGCGGCGGCTCACACCTGTAATCCCAGCACTTTGGGAGGCCGAGGCAGGCGGATCACCTGAGGTCAGGAGTTCAGGACCAGCCTGGCCAACATGGTGAAAACCTGTCTCTACTAAAAATACAAAAAAAATTAGCCAGGGGTGGTGGTGGGCACCTGTAATCCCAGCTACTCGGGAGACTGAGGCATGAGAATTGCTTGAACCCAGGAGGTGGAGGTTGCAGTGAGCCGAGATGGCACCACTGCACTCCAGCCTGGGCAACAGAGTGAGACACCCTCTCTCTCTCTCTCTCTCTAATATTATTTTATATATAATATAAATATATATAAAATAAAAATAAAAATAAAATATGTATATATATAAATCTTAGTCTTATGGACTGATCAGTTTCATGGGGAGTCAGGAAGCACCCACAGGCTGAATCAGGTCTTAGGCAGAGTGGAGTTCAAACCAACAGGGACTAACTGCTGCCACCTATGTACTCCCAAGTCCAAGTGAACCACAAGGTGATTATCCTTGTCCCTCCAATATACATACTGATTTTTGGAAACTAAT